GAAAGCAAAGATGTTTGCTCTCCCATCCCACATGGATGAGGGCAGGCTGGTTTATGAGTTCCTTCCAATTTTCCTTTCATATGCAATTGCAACTCGTGGTTTTTAATCTGTGCACTGAATGATGTATATGGGGAGTTATATGACAATAGCTCCAAAGAAACAAAAGCAAGAAGATACATTTCCAAGCCTAACAAACAAGGGCTGACATGGACTCTCACACAGCTGGCATGCATCAGTAGCCAAACCCTCCACTCAGTTAGTTTCATAAAACCCCAACCAAATCAGCATTGCTGAGAAACTGGCCCGCTGGAAAAAACTTGCACTGCCTCAGCCTTGTGGTGTAAGAGCTTCCCACAACAGCCGGACATGAAATAACATATGATATCTACATTTTAAAACCCATTCTATGTTATTACTAAAACAATCATTATCCTTGGTCTCCAAGAGGTTATTCACATAACATCAACAGGGTGAAGAACAAGTACAGCAAACTTTGCTTGCCCACACTCCAAGCAAATGCAGGACATGTGCACCCTCAAGAGAGAATGACATGGCCAGAGCAGCACTGAGCCCATGCTAATAATATGAGAGGTCTGCAATGATGTTATCCACCTATCAGCCCTGTGCTGAGCAGTCAGAGCTTCTGCCTGGCTACATCTGTCTGCTGGCACCTCAGTCTTATCTGCGTACAACATGTGACAGACACAAATCTCACATATCCCACAGACACTCTTCTGCTCTGAGATTCTCAATTTCTAACCCTGTTTTCAGGGACAAAATCTTGGCGCGGAGGGTTGGAGGGAAGAAGAGCCAAATTCCTAGCAGAAGTTTGGAGCCAGCTTCCTCACTATCATTCTGGCTTCGCTGTAATGCCTCCCACCACAAGAGTCTGGCTGCAAAGCATATTGTCTCTCCAAAGCCCAAGAGCTTTACCCAGAATTTTTCCAATTGTATCTGTCACTCTGGATGACTGGAGAAATTGGTTGAACCCTCAGGATACTGCAGTGCTGCTTGAGAAGCCAGGACACTGGCTGAACTCACCAAGGAAGAGAGCTGGGTGAAATTTACATCACCTCTACCACAGACACACCAGCATCTGTTGCCCAAAGTGTGGACCATGTGAAATACTGATTTTACGTCTCCTCACTTTCCATTTCAGACAGCTGTCAGCAATACCAGAACCCAGAGATGACAAAAATCTCTGCATCCCAGCAGCTCAGGCTCCCATTTATCTGAGTAACCAAAGAGGCTGTGGCAATGCCTGGGTAGGCAATTCATGGCATGTTCCACGTTGACAAAGTTTTTTCATTTCAGATAAAACACAGATGTATTTTTAACTCTCATTCCCCATTTCTACAAATAATTCTATCTTGAAGAATGGAAACATCTTTCCTTCATTTGTTGTTACCAACGTTTTAAGAAAATAAGTGTGAAAAACATAAAAATCAGCCTCTCCACCAAAATAATAGTTAAAAAAAAACAAACACAAAAACAACAAAACAACAAACCCAAAGAGTATTTCCTGAGTACAGTGGCAAAGCACTACATTTGTTTTGCTCACCTTAGGTTTTACTATAGCTATTCAAGTAAATCCTTTCTCAATGGCTTATTGATTGCAGGTTTGATTACTCTGTTGAATTCTGACATGCATACACTTGACAATATCAGTGAAGTTACTGAAAAACTACATGCTGTAAGATAATGAATTAGCACAGTGCTGCTATCTATTCACCAGCTGCACACATACATTCATGGTGCAGATGGCCAGCAGAATTCAAAGCAAAAGTAAGCTTCACTTCTCCACTTGTAATCACACTACACAATCTAAACCACACACATTATTTAAATAATCATTCAAAGAATGCTATGGAGAGAAAAAAAAAACCAAACAACACAACACTGGATAATTACACCTACACCTGCGTTTAATCTGAAAACACAGGTTTGGTAACACAAACAGACGTTTCCTGCCAGAGCACCCCGGGGCTCCAGGTGGCACAGCCCACACTCACCTCATGTGGCACTCTCCTACTAGCTGTGGGGCTCTGTCCCCAAAGGAGAACTGCAAAAACACTGTTCAACCATGGCTTATCTATAGCCAGCCCCATTCCTAAGAAAGCAGATGTTTCCTTCTGTCCTCATCAGATGGAACCACCTGGCCACTGGCCTCTCAGCTCCTCATCAGTTACCTCCCTTTGACGTTCACTCACACCTATCACAGGCAGCATTACACAGTGCTACAAGCCCCATAAAGTATGCATTCAGTAGGAAAAACATTTTTGTGCTCATGAAAAGTAAGAGATCAGACCATCCTCGGTGTAATAGTAAAAAAAAAATTGCACTGTCCAATTTGCTATCCCAGTAAATGGCCGAAGTTCCTGACCCCATCAAGCACTCATTTGGCATCTGATTGCTCGAGCTGCTTACTGCTAGCTGGCCAACTGTTTTTTTCTGAAGGCTTGTATGAGGATAGGAACCCCAGAGAACAGTCTGTAGCTATCTATCCCTTCCCAGAGAACATTTAAAGCCTTTATCTTATTTGAATGAGTTTACATTTGGAAAAAAGAAAAAAAAAGGTGGGTTTTTCACATTATTGATATAAACTCCTCCACACAGGATTTTTTAAAAGTCTACATCAAACAAGGAAAAACAAATGCTGAGAGGGCAGATTTAGGGCAATTTATCAAGGTTTGGGAAATGGCTTCCAGATGGAGAGAGTTGTTTGCTGCTGGCTGGTGAGAAGGAAGCAAGGTATTGTTATTGAATTAGCATGAATCTCTGGTGGAGAACTGCGTGGTAGATAGAGTGCTCCTTTCATATGGTTTGCATTTGGACCTGTCAGATTTCATTTTTACTCAAAAACCTGTGGTAAAGACAAAGAGTTCATTTCTGCTTATTAAATTTCCCCTGATTCTCCCCATGCTGTTATCCAGTCTCTATTTTTAAACTCTATGCTAAGTGCCATGCCTGGGTCTGTTTGCTTCATGCCATGCTTGGATGATAACCTGGTGCTTACAAACACACAAGTGGTTTTGGGTTTTGCATTCACACACTGCACGTCACCTAAGAAAGTGCATGAGAGAGGAGAAAAGTTGGATGCCCTATGAGATGTTTAAACCGAGTTCAAGAGTTTATCAAAACCTTTCTAAGTAAAATGATGTACTGAGGTCTAATGTACATTAGAAAATTACTACTAATAAAACTAGAGGATTATTCTTGATTATTCTTTGCCAATAAATCCTTCCTTTATAAACATGTCTTCTATTAATATAAATGCATGTATACTAGTGGATTTGCTAATACAGGAATATATAAAACAGATAAAATAAGGGCAAAGGAAAGATATTCTCCTAACCAACACAATTCTACTCTGAATAACCCTAGCACCTCTTGCAGCGTGTGTGCATTACAGAGTAAGAGATAAACAAAGATTTATGTATTTTCCTGATAGTTTAGAAAACTTACTTTTGAAGTTATCCTAGGAGTCGCTTAGCCGCATATGAAGAATTTAACCTAGTTCATGTTAAACATCAGATTAGAGTGACCATTAATCTGTTAACCTCCGGAGATTAAACAGACACAGCTTCCCCATCATAAAGACAAATCAATTGTTACTGACTAGTTAGTTTTAGATAAATGAATGTTTGACAATGTGGTCTTTTAATGTCCTGGAAAACCTTCAGGTTGACACACCAATAGGTAGAAGGATTTTTAAGGAGAGGAAATTATCAATGGATTTTTCATTTTAAGAGAATTTGTATTTTCTTGAGTACTAGACATGGGGGCATTAGAATGAAAAAGCCATGAGCTTTACATCTTCTCTCATCCAGTATTTCAGGGATTCACCACAATGAGTCTATGATCAGCAATGTACCCTGAGTAGATACAGAAGGGAAATGGTGATATCATCAGCTCCAACTAATTCCCAAATCCTACTTGGAATGTCCGCCAAGGTATCTGTGCCTGCTTTCCTTATATATGTCTGGTTATGACCTTTCTGTTCTATAGTTCTCATTACTCTGTTTTATGAACATCTGCTTTAACTAACCAAGACTCTGTAAGAAATATCCAATAAGGTAAATAAAATCACAGTTTACAAGATGCAACTACTTCTCTGCCCATAACATCCCATCTAGAGCCTGTGAACAATCATATGCCTTGTTTATTACTTACATTTAATCCCTCAGCTTCTTACTATTGAGCTAGGTTTCCAGAGTAATCAATTCTGAAAAAAATTTTTGGTAGCCTTAAGCTCTCATGGTGCAGTGTTAACAAAGGGATTTATATATCACTACTGAAGGAATGGCATTACTCAGTGATGTCGTTTTCCAATTTTTGTATCTGTTATCTAGAAACAGACACTGCACACTCACAACACTACATCTAAGAATTCCACCTACAGAATTCTACATTTTCAGATCACTTTACACACAGTACTCAGAAGTCAGAGCCAGTTGAGCTTGTAGCAACATCTCTGATCAATTACCACTTTACTGCTAATCAATCTGTGTGAGATGGATGCAAGCTAGCAAGTAGCCCACCCTGTTATTGTGGATGAAACTGTCCTCGATTCTTATCTGAACTGCATTCCCTTTAGCATGGCAGCCTATGAAACAGCTATCTTGGTGTTCGCAAATAAAGAAAAGGAAGATAAAATCAACTGGCCATTTCGTATAGATATCTACATCACAGAACCAAAGAATGCCCAAGGTTGGAAGGAACCCCTGGAGATCATCTAGTCATGCTCAAAGCAAGGTCAGCTAGAGCATATTGGTCATGGTACATCTGTACAGTCATGGCACAAGGAGAAAGAAATGCCTTTCCCATTACACAGGATAAAAATCTGGAGAACAGTTGAAAGGTCACACACAATCTGTTTGAATAAGGCATCCGTTGAACTAAGTTGTCTGTACAATTGACTTCTCATGGTACAACAATTAGAAAGCAGAAGGGATGAAGAATACTTTATTGTTTTTCATGTAGTTCACTTGCAGTCATACCTTGAAGCCAAAAGGGCAGGTGCACTGATAAAACTCCACTGGATCGTTGCTGCATGTCCCGTTGTTCTTACATGGATTGGAGAGGCAGGGGTTACACTTGGACACAACACTGATATCTGCTGGCTCTGGAAGGGCAAAATACAGTGTATGAAGAGAGAACTGGATTACAAAATTAATACTTTCCATGCTCACATTTTTCCCTAATGTAGCATTCACCCTGTATTGGTACACATGCACATGCTATGGGTGCAACGTTACACAACAGCATGAGGGATTCTCAGGGATTATGAAGATTTTAAGTACTTAAATCAAGAGCTGGGTAACTTTCAACATTGCTTATATTCTCCTGCACATGGAAACATCAGCTCTGAAAAAACACACTGGAAATCTCCAGAGAATGGGATTATATATATATGGCTTTCAGCAATTCTTCCTTCTCTTAGCACTGGAAATTCTGCAACAGCAATCCCTAGGGAACTATAACATGTCATTTCTATGGCTGGTAACAAGAATGAAAGTGCAGATGCAACAGTAGAAATGAAAAACATGCGTAAGAAAGATTCAGTTAGAAGCTTATGGGACTGTTTAGGTGCAAAGTCTTCTACCATCCTTAGTTTTAATAGAGTTTAAAACTTATTTTCCTCCTGTTCCAACCGGAAGAAAGATCACCAACATTCAGACACCTTGGCAAAGTGCAACAATGTTAAACACACAAATCTGTAAATGCATGCAGGTAAATATGCATGTCCATTTTTTAAACTCGTAATAAGCCATACTTTTTAAGAGATTGGTGATACTTGTGCACAAGCAGGAAGCTGAACACAGACCAAAACAATATCAAATAATTTGGAATACTAAATCAACAAATATTTTGTTGTTGATATCTTACAGAAAGTTAATTCAGACTGCTAAGTTTATGGTTAAGAAAATGGTGATTTTTTAGTGGCTAAATTTCAAATATTAATGAGTTAATAGCTTTTACACATAAAAAATAAAGCTGAGCACTTCAAAGGGGCTTCAATTATATTTGACAGTAAAGGACCTAACATAACTTTATCTCATTTTTAAGGTAATACATTTTAAAATCTCTTAAAATTAATCCCATGTGATCCAGAGTGGACACAGGCCTTCTGTTACTGAATGATAAGAGATAAGCAGGAGGAAGTTGTGATGCATCCTCAAAGTGGAGAATATAAGCTTACATCTGACATTAGAGAGCAGGTAGAGCTGTAGAGGGCTACAAAGATCAAAGATGAAAAGATCTCCCTTTCAGTCAGGAATTTGCTTTGGGCTGTCCTCTGTGAGATGCAAACCCACATTATTCACTTTGAATACCAGCATGGCACCTACACGGGGTTAAGAACATCAGAGAAATCAGTACCAAGGAGTCTCAGCTGAAAAGTGCCTGCTGTATAAAGGCTACATCCTGATCTCATAATGATGGCAGGGTCAACATGGCTAATAAAAGCACAGTTAATTGCAGAGCAAAATGCATCATAATATAAAAATAAACAAGAAGTAACAAATCCAAAAAATGAAAAAAAAAAAAAGTTTGTTGTCTTCCTCTTCTACCTTTGGGTTGTTTTATGTCTAACTAAATGTCATGCATTTTTAACTTGGAGTTAGAACAGGAAGAGGAAATAGCATTTGGATTTCTGACACTGTTGGCGAAGTGCAACAAATGTGAGCTGCTACCCTTTGGCTCCTCCCAGAATGCATGCAGGTGGCTGCGCAGGGTGTTCAGGAGAGACAGCAATGTTGATCTTCAACTCGATTTGGAGGTTACTGAGCCAGAACTCATTATTTATTTATTTTATAATACACAAACATACATTTTCCAGTTATTCCTATGGCTCAGATCAAAGCTAATCAATATAGGAGTTAATGAGAACACTGTTAGTTCCTAGCACTTAAGTAGTTCATTAGTTTGCCCTTGGGGATTTGGTTTATAAATTCATACAGCAAAATGCCCTCAGTCTAGCACATTCCTTTCCTCTACTGCATCACTAAGAGGGCAATTTAATAAAAAGCAGAGATGGGTTTGCATGACTTCCACATGACGTGCTTTTATTTTCTTGGCTCTGCTGAGACGTAACCTTCTGCTCAGGCACATACTAAAAACGTGATTTTAACAAGAATTTGCTAAACTACTTATATGTGTATATGTACAGATTTAAAAGCTACTGGAAGCCACAGAGGATATCTGTGCACAACCTTTGTACAAGCATATCGAGGTCCTGAGCTCAGTGTGGGATGACACCTGCAGCAGTGACCCAGGCACTTTTGAGGTAAGTGACATTTCAGCCACCACTGAGCCCCCCCTGACCAATGCTGGGGAAAGGACTGAATCTACATAGTCAGAAGTATGGACATACTATTGGACAATCCGTGTTATCCCACAGATAGTGTCATTCTGCTGCCACAAGCTTGTGCCACAGCTACAGCTCAGCATCTGTAGCTGAGAGACCATGCAGCTGCAGCATGAACTGAGGATGTACCATCCCTGTCATGGGGTGCAGGGTAAATGTCTCCAGGCTAAGAGTAAGTGTGTGCTTCACACTGTAATAAATTTTGTCACTTTACCACTAATGAACATCACTCATGTCCCAGTGGAACAGCATGAGGAGTACAATATTAAATGTGCACATGGGAAATAGGTTCAGTTACCATCAGATTACAAAATCGTGCATTGCTTTTCAAAATACATGCATTGTGTTGAAAAAGGGTGAATTTTACTAGGGCGTGGAGCTTCTTGGAGTATACTGAAACTCAGTCAGACCATCAACAACATCTGCCTGTACAAAGACTGCCTCTGAAACAACTTTTTTTTCCTCCTTTCGTATTGAGATAAAGCTAGCAATGGAGACAGCTAGGCCAGTAGAAAGCCCAACAGTTTTCTGGAGGACCTAACTAATATTTATATAAAAACGATACAGCTGTTTTAACAGTCAGAATCATGGACTCACTTATCTTCTGCGTGTTTTGTTTAGAGAGAAAGTGAATCTAATTACTGATACATGACATTTTCAAAATGAAAAATGCATTGGCCTCCTCCTCTTGCATTAAACTTGTTTCACACAATCATTTTCTTCATTTCTTCATTCTTCATCTTCTTTCATTTGTTAGTGTGAACAAGTACATTATTTGGTATTTTTACCATTCAGGGAGTAATTGCATTTCACATTTTAGGGACCACTATAAAGTCTGCAGTTATGATGATTGTAGTCAAGAGTTCTGGTAATTTTGAGAAAGACATTTCAAAGTAATTAAATTATAAGATTACAGTTATTAAAAATACATCTAACAGGCCATAAAATTGACCTCAGGCTTGGCAACCAGTGATCCAAACCCACTAGTGGATATGCAGATTCTGAAGTCTCTTTGACTATGACTTGGTTTGTTCCAGCATCGTCCATTATGAGGATACTTCAATTTTCCTCTGAAGTAATCAGTATTAATCAATGTTGACAATACACACTGGACTGATGGCCTGTGGGACAGTAAGAAAATGCCTTCCTGCTCTGCACTGTGCTGGAGTGCCCTCACCTCGAGCACTGAGTGCAGTCTGAGTGCCACAACACAAGGATGTAAAGTTATAGAGTGGCCCAAAGAGGGCTGCAAGGATGTGGAAGGGTCTGTGGGCACGGTGTGTGAGGAGTGGCCAAGAGCGTTGGGTTTGCTCAGCCCAGAGCAGAGCAGGCTGAGGGCAGCCTTCCAACTCAGGTTGGAAGTTGAAGGTGCCCCTTCCAACTCAGCATACTCTGTGATTCTCTGATATTCATATACTTGGTGGCAACCTGTGCAAACCTCCAAAGCTCCTTTTACAATAAGAATATGAGTCTTACCTACCCTATATTCAATATACTATTTACTTTCTTCACAAGAAAATGTGCTCCTTATCTTTTACTGACTGCTCCCTAATGCACAGTAATCCTGTCCATGACTACATCTAATCGCTAACAGCTGCACCTCCGCGCTCTCCTGAAAGTACACTAAATTCAGACATTAAAGATTTTCCATAATTTACAGTTTCTGATACAGAGCTGGTGAGGACATAAAGTTGTTTGTGTATCTTCAAACAAAAATATTATTTTGGTAAATATCTGCTGTAGTACAACAATCTGAATTCTCAGTTTTCAAATGTATGTACGTAAAAACTAGAGAAGTCTATATTTTAAAATGTCTCCTATTTTACCAAAGTTGTCTGTGGTAGGTAGAAAGCAAATAAGTTTATTTGTTTAACTAACTCACAATATCCTCTATGCTAATTTGCTCCTACATAATCTGGTGCCAACAGCAGCAATACTAACTTTTTGGAGGTTTGCTGTTTTTCTTTCCTGTGGTGCAGTTAACTGAGCCCTGTGGAAGAACACTTCAAAACACCACTTGAATGCAGTCTGATGCTTCAGTAAACGAAAGCCAAGCACCTCCTCACTTTAATGCCAAGCAGCTTGCAAGAGTATAAAAATAAAGAGTTGTGTACTAGGAAAAGCAATAGGAAACAACAGTTTGCTTGTGCCTACCTTTGCACTGGAAGTGGTGAGTTGGTGTTGTGAGCAGCAGCCTGTCCACCATGGCTTCTGGCCCGCTGCAGCGGGCTATTCCTGGCTCTTTGTACCCTGCCTTCACCCACTCGGAAAGCCAGCGGAGGTTGCAGTCACAGTGTAAAGGGTTGGTACCTAGAGCCCTAGTAGTAAAAAAACAAACAAACAGCAGTTATTTGGGTTTGCAATTAAAGATAACATCCCTTATCTCAATGAAGTACATTTGTACCAGAATGCTTTATTTCAAAATGTGTGAAATAAATCTTCTGAATATTCAGAAAGTCTCCTAGAATTATCTCCCCCAGTATTCCTCCTCCTCTTCTTTCTTTCCATCGTTAGTTAAGGAGGTTGTATAACTGCTTAACAACAGATCACCTTTTCAAACAATAAATCACTTTTTCAAAAACTTGTGCTTGAGAAATGTTGAGAGACATATATTACATCCACAGGATTTTACAGGTTGGTTTCTTTTATTTTACTCTTTGGCCTTCGTGAGCCAGTGAACTGCGTTATTTAGTTCGGATCTGATGGCTCACTGGATGAGTTATGCACACAGAGGATACCCCTATTTTCAAAACTGCAACCTGGTGTCTGTGAAGCTTGTTTATGGCTTTGAAAACATATCTGCATCTCTTGAGTGACGTCGCATGGTTGAAGCAGATGGGTTCAAATAGCGCCATTATAATTCACAAAACTTTTCCATTATGAATGGAGATCCATTCAAAAGAAAAAAAAATAAAAACACAAAACCCTTTTTACCTTAAATTTAGGTGCTGTCTTGACTCATTCAGACTATTCTTTCTCAAGTGTCATTTTAAGCAATGAGTCTATCTCAGTCTAGAAACTATCAATTTCTGGAAGTGTGAAGAAATGTATGCTGGAAGACTGCATTTATTTTGCTGAAAGGCTTTAACTGTGCAACAACTGAACTGCAATAGGAAAATAATTACCTAAATAGTTACAGATCAGCACATGGGAAAGATACTTAAGAAACCAATAATTCAAATTGCGTTTTAGACTTTACATATGTTAAAAACAATATTTAATACGGTATTTTAAACATGATTTTCCTTCAAATAAAAATATCAGACAGGATATTACGATAAAAACCTCAGTAAGTTTGTTGATACATTTCTATTGGAGTGACTAATGAACCCACTGTGCCCTAGACAGATTCATAATGAGGGTTCATAGGTTCAAACTCTGTCTAGGGCTCATTCATCAAAATTAAATGTGTACTAAAGCACAGTATTAAAACATATCTATCCATTCCTTCTGTGATTCTATTGCTTACTATGGGAAAAAAAACTACTCATTTGACTTTTTGACCCTGTAACTGTAATCAACCGGCTTGCCTGTCCAAGGTCAAACAAAATACAGCAGCGAAATTTGGACCTAGAAATTAACTTCATCATTCAGCAAGCGCAATGTGAAAAACAGCAGTGGGAGGATAATTGAAGCCCAGTTATCTGTGTTAATTAATCTTCATAAAGTACACTGGAAATAAAGTTGCCCTACAGTCACTAGAACCGATTACCAATAACATTACTGTACAACTACAGAAGTGATTGCACATATCTTTCTGATAATTTTTTTCCCATACCTCAGATCTGTTGTAAATTATTGTGTTCTCATTCATGTGCTCTGACATACACACTCTATTTCTTTGCCCATTCTACCACACTATCTGAAGAAGGTAAAAGTATCTTGTGCTGTAATAAAATATCTCCAGCAGTATTTTCAAAACATGGTGCAAATATTTCTGTTCAGCCAACTTTTTTGAACTTACAATAAATTCAATTAAAATCCGCGGACAGGAGATGCCTCTCTTACAAAGAAAGGTTGAAGGGCTTGTTTAGCTTGGAGAAGAGAAGGCTCCAGGGAGACCTCACTGTGGCCTGCCAGTACTTGAGGGGAGCTTATAAGGCAGGAGGGAGACCAACATTTTACATGAATCTGATAGTGATAGGACAAGGAAAACTGGCTTTAGAATAAGAGAGTGGAGATTTAGATTAGATGCTAAGGAGGGAATTTTACACTCAGAGAGCAGTGAGGCATTGGCACAGGCTGCCCACAGAAGCTATGGGTGCCAGATCCCAGGGGGCAATTGGGCCAGGCTGGATGGGGCCTTGGGCAGCTTGATATTTTGGGTGGCAACAGCAAGGGGTTGGAGCTGGATGCAGATGGTCTTTATGGTCCCTCCCTACTAGGTCATTCTATTATTTTATGTATAACTAACTAAGATAACGCAAAGATACAGACTGCTATGGGAGGACTGCTTATTTCATTTGATTTAATTTCTTGATAACTAACACAGCTAATGAGTAAAGGCAAGATGATTCAACAGAATCAGGAATCTGAGCTGTTTAGCAGTAACATGTTTGAGAAAAAGATCTGCTGTACACAATTAAGAAGAGTTTCTCTGTGAAATCCCTGGAGCATGGGAGTATTTGGCAAATCGAACTGGTTACGGAGCTGTGTATATCACCAAACGGACAGAGATGAGAGGATAGCGTATGTGGGAACTGACCTAACTGAGAAGTTCCCAGTTTTGCTCCAGCAGATTTTGAGTTCTTTTTAGATACTAATGTACATGATTCTTCACTAGTACTTAAACATTTTTATCATTACCCTGGACTAAACAAATCAGCAGAGTCATGGCTTAAATAGACAATTAATTATGTGATTCAACAAAATAGAGTTGTAAATTCAAACAGAACAGTTTATGGTAATATCACATACAAACTCTTCTCTGTTTTTAGTGAGGTTTAGGTTACAGTTTGTCATAACAGCTACAATCAGATAATATATATTTACAACATAAAGGAAATTCAGGTTATCATCTAAGCTTTAAACAGCACTGGAAAAAGTGATTAAAGTATCTAGATGTCAGTTTTGTTTTTCCAATTGCAAACCATTTAAAATATTCTATAAAAGACTGATTAAACCAATACTTCTGTCTCTTCTAGAATAATATCCAGCTCGGTACCCTGGTAGTCAGCTTCCTTTATACCTGTCCTACCCACATCCATACAGCTACATTTAACGTCATGTTTTGTTCTGGAGTTACAAGTTTGATGAGTAGCAGCTTCTCATACCATCTAAAAATTATTCCAAGCATATGCTTTCTACTCAAAGATCTAGGTATCAGGAGAACTCAAAAACAATTTATTTGCAAATCCATAAGACTTAGAATAAGCACAGCCTTTTCTGGTTTGTGAAAAGCCTAACATCTAGCAAGATCCTTGCGGTTGCTGAAAGTTTCAGATCATCACACCGCATCCTCTTTAGGAAACCGGAGAGCACAACTGTCCTGTAAAATTAAATTGTTCAGCTGTGCAAAAATACACCCCAGACAGGTCTTATTTATTTTATGGATCCTGTTTATTACTGTTCATTTGTGTTTTGTGTGTTTTACATTTCTGGCAGCACATACATCTAAACAGACAGACTGCAGTAACTGTATTGGACCAAAAAGGTTTTTATCGTTCCCCAAGGTGAATGGTTTACCCAGGAAAATTGTGTCTGCACTTCATTTAAAGTGAACCCTGAGGAAAGTCCAAACAAATGGGGCACGATATGTTTATCTCATACATTCTAAAAATACCCTCAGAAGCCAGACTCCCTGTATGGAAGGTGTCACTGCATTCCGAAAGGTGATTCAGGGCTTCGGCTCTGTCAGACTTTCACTCCAAAACAACACAGAAAATGACTTTACTATGCTGGGAACATAAGAATGGAATACATTTTATGCAAGATGAGCATTTTCTTTGACTTAGACACCAAGGTGTAAGTTCGAAACAAGGAATTTATTTCTCAGTTTCAGCTGAAATTCCCTAAATTGCTCATATATTATTTCTGTCTGTACCAATCTGAGATATGTTTATTCTTCTTTGTCTATAAAAAGACTGAGATAGAAAGCCTTGCACGGAAATCACAGCCCAAGGACAAATTTGCTATCCTGTAAATATTTGTGTTTTGCACAATTTCTGGATAACAGTGCTGTTACGTTCAGTAAGTTTTCTGGAGGGAATGTTTAAATTTTAAGAAACAGATACAAAACTATGTTCAGTGTACACATGCACAGGTATCATGTGTAATATCACACATTATCTCAGCAAACATTTTCTGTTCGCTATTTTGGCACTGACCGTGAAACTCCAGGTTTGTCTCATAGCTATTACAGCTGTTTGTCTTTTACAGGTCTTTCATCAATTGAGTTGTGATTAAAAAGATCCTGGAACTCCACTAATCCAAATCATCTCTTGAAATACCTGAAACTTTTAATGACTTTTAATTATTTTATACAAATTACGAGTATTAATACTGTGATTTGACCCATTTCCCTATGATTAAATATTAGTCTGAGGTAGTGATTCATCAAATTCGTATACATTTCAGTATGCAAAACATATGACACTTGTTAAGCACTGTATTCACATTTGCTTAATATTTGCTCTTTGTGGGAGGTTTCCTGTCTCCGTCTCAGACCATAACACACTCTGCATTTCTCTTAGACAATGCTGAAAGAAAACCTGAAAGTCCACTGAAGAGGAAATTGTCACATTTGCTCATTTGGCTTTTCTTAAGAAAATATTTTGGTAACTAATAACAACAGGTTCCTCTATTTATTTTATTTCCTTTGAACATTTGCTCTGTGAATATCCAGAGCAGCATACAGAAAGTACGCAGGAGGAACAGAACAGTCATACAATCACAGATTTGTAATAATGGTAGCGTTTTATAAGTCTGAAACTAAAGAACACGGAAGTACTTACAGATGAGACAGGGACACCAGGTCATTGAAGGAACCTTCAGGAACACTGGAAATATCATTTCCATGGAGCGTCCTAGAAGAGTGGAAAAGCAGGAAGGTATCAAACCACAGTCAGGTCTGCTCCTCAGAAGTGAGGGAATTCGTGCTTAAGAATGATACTTAATTTTCCCTCCTTGTGAGTTTTTACAAGCTTCACAACTCACAAGCTTCCATGCTGCTACTAGATGTTGACATTTAAAACGATGACAAGATCAGAACTGTTGGTGACTAATGTTTTAAATTAAAAAGGTGATACACTATGCTATTAAAAGTGTATTGATGACAAGCAGACCCTCCCATACAGACCTGTAATTCTTTTATAGAATCCCATTAGCTGGAAACACAAAGAAAACAGAAGAGGGGAAATAAGAAATGCAAGAGTTAAATTAAATACTGACTTCAGAGAAACCCTAGGAGAGAGCAAGGATCCATGAGGGCGAATACATCTGCACTTTCACATTCGAGTTTTCCATTTTTATAGTTGGAAATGCCTTTTTTGTGTGGTATTTTAAAAATCTGCTTGACAAATAAATTTATGCTACCAGTGAAAATACTTGAAATTAGTTGTTTTAGGGCTCCGTTAATTCTAAATAAACAAATATTTTCTTATCAAGGCTTTCAGGATCTTTGTGAAAATGTTCTCCGCTGCTCCCAGGACAATTTCAGCAGACACTCTCTTTTCTAAGAAATACATTTATGCATGTTACACAGGCAAGCATGAATAGATGGTTATGATAGACAGCAGGAGGGGAGCGGATGCTGGAGGTGACAGCTGTAGAATAACTGTCTAGAAAGTGCACCAGAGAAGATCATGTAAAATTTCATCTTTCACATAAATAGAAACAACTGTTTAACTGCTCATCCTCTGCCTTACTAGATAATTATCTGGCAAAATAAAGCCTACAGTAACATTTAGGTAACTTTTCTATTTCCTCTGTCACTGCCTGGAAGCTTAATACTTCACACAGTATTAGAAAGAGCTCATACGGAGTCAGTGTCACTGGATCTCAATTGCCTTTTCTCAAACAAAAGTTGGCAGAGAAGTTGCAAAGGAAAATCACATCAATATTTTATTTTTTTTTTCTTTTTTACAATTCTCCCCCAACCTGCATCACTGATAGCAAACTCCTGTATGCTTTACATCCTCTTTCCCAGCACGTACCAGTACCGTATATGAACTAGATGTGGCAGAAGAGGGCAGAACACAGAAATCTGATGTGTGTCAGGTTTGTAGCAGCAATTTCCCTCAAGTTCTCAAGTTTGCCTGGTGATCTTGAATTTTTTGACAGTACAGATGCTTGAAATGGTGAAAAAGCCAAATATCTGGGCCCATGGAAATACACAATAACCCAAACAAAAATAAAAGCATCTCTTCTTGCATCCTTTTCTCCTTTCTGCACCCTAACACAACTATGAACCTCATCAGGATCTGATTTATGGTTTAGAACTTTTATGAATGTAACCTTGCCATGCTGCCTTCCACCAACACGCACACAGTGAGGAAGGCCACGCTCCCCAGGTGACGATGCCCCTTATCCTGCATTCTGGAAGCCTGGGCCCTGCTATGGAGGCTGTGAGCTATGTGACACAAACAATATTACTATGATCACATTTCCCAGCAGCTCACTGCAGCTGCAGTTTCTATTTCTTATTCTAATGCAAAATTGTTCAGGGCATGAAACAGCAAAAGCCGCAGCACAGTTGTCCTGCTGGGATGTTTCTTACAGCTCTTGACATGAGAATACCAAAAGCTTCCCTTTCCATCATCCTGAATGTCTGCTAAGCAGATCTAGCTTGCCTATCATTAATAATGCTTGGTGTGTGTAATTAAGGATGGATCTCCAAGTAATTCATCCAAACAGGAACAGGAAGGATGTGAAGTTCCACACAGGAACTCCAGATAAAGCACACTCTCCAATTCTGAGCAGAATGAACAATGGCAAAGCCATACCCAAACAGCTCTGATATACTTATGTTGGCACGAGGATGAAAGATCGGGCCTGGTCAAGAAATTATCAGAAAAATGCACCCTCCTTGATTTAAATAAGAATCTTATAATGAACTTATGTTCTGATGTTTTATACTTAAAGATGTGCAAGCGCCCTCTGAACAGAGAGCAGAACTTCAGTTTCTCTTCACATCATACCAGTTGTCTTTATTCTGTGAATGCGTGTATTTGCCTTCCTAAACAAAATGTCTTGGAATCCTTTTCCAAGAGAAGCTTAAGGATGACAAAGTCATTTATCTGTAAGAAAGTAAAAAACATCAAAACCATAAACCCACGTTTAATGAAGGGCTTCACTACATACCTCAAACACTGAGGTATGCTGCATGGATGCCACTGACAGCATTTTAATGACAAAATGATGTCAGCAATACCTCCACCTATACAGCCAAACTGAAATGATAAATTACAGCTAAAAAGCTGTAAGAACCTCAGTACAAAACAGTGACAGGAGAATTCAGCAGAACAATGGCTTTTTTTCCAGTTGGATCAATGACACAAACATTTTTATACCTGAGCGAAAGCTTGATTAAAATCCCAAACATTTGGAAAGTTAAAGCACAAGCATGCATGCATTCACCCCCACAGGCACAACTTCCAGTTATCTCCTTGTCTAAACATCAGTAAATATAAGAGTGTGAATGTAAGGTGATGGTGGTCTCCTTTCAGAACACCCAAATTCCTCAAACAAAAACTTTCTTCTTTGTGTAATCTAATTTATTTCTGAGCCCTGAGATAAAGGAATCAACTGAGCATATCTCTATGGATTTCTGTTTTGGTTTGTTTGTTCCTTGTTCTTTAAAAAAAACACACAACAGCAATAACAAAACCCCAGCTGTCCCCCAGCCCTACTCCCAACCTGTTGTCTGGTAACATTAGGTAACTGCAGACATACTTTTTTAGTAAAGAACAATCTACTCGGTAAAGACAGTAATTTGGCTAAAAGCTTGGCTGAACTTGCAGAATAGCTACAAACAGTCATTCTGTGATGCACAAAAACCCAAACAACAACAAAGGCAACTGTTATTTCTCTTAGGTCAATTCAGTGCAACATCCAACACAGAAGTATATTGCAAAAATTGGTTCCAAGGTTTTGTTTGAAGAGTATGTGCAGCAGCTTTCTCATCAGATATATTACTGTGTTTGTGTGAGCTCTGAACTACAGCACTTTTCTAAATAAATGTGTGCTCTTGAACTGCAGTAAACAATTCATCATTTTTCAGTAAAACTGGAACATCTCATTTTAGCAGAATATTTTGTAGCTCATTTAGAAATTTTTCCATGAATACAACATGGAAAATTGTTTCATGATCTGATAAAGTAGTTCTATTTTTGGACTTTCCCTCCTAATTAAACAGGGACAAAATATTGTAAGTTACAACAGTGTCAAACATTAAAAACAATCAGTGCAACCAGAAAATTTTAACATTTATAATTCCCTTGTTTCAATCTCTCAGCTTTTAAAACCTACTAATATTAAGCTTCTTTAGTTTTGGAGAAGAAAGTCACAAATTTTCATTGCAATTGTTTTGGTGGAAAAAAACTCTGATATAAACTTTTCCGTTTAAAAAAAAAGAACATTATAAAATTGTAAATGTTGAAATTGCTCCTCAGCACACTCTGGCTGATATTATGGATCAGCCAGGCAAAGACTGAAGATGTGATTATGTAAACACTGATATATATTCAGGCTTAAACATAAACATTTTGACTCTGCCCTTTTCTCAACTGGACTTGTGCAGAAAAGTGTAAGAGACAGAGGACAGAACCTGATATCATTCAGAGATCAGTTTCATCATACCTCTATGATTAGTCTGATTTTCAAATATGTATTTATTTTACTTAGTACAGAGAGTCAAAAAGTAAAGAAAACATGAGGAATTTGGAAGACACTGAAGTCTGTATGAGAAGGTCATGTTAACTTTCAAAGGCAAGCACTGCCAAAGGGACTCAGATATCTATATTCTTTTTATTAAAAAAAAATAATTAAAATGTGAAAATTGTATTGCTGATGTTTTCTCTTTTACATTCTTTTGAGAATACGGATAATAAATAACTGACAGTAACAGATTGCACTCTATCACTCGGAAGCCCATTTTCCCTCTGGAGAATCGATTTTTAATAACAATGTAGATGACATGTGGCAAAAGTTGTAGCTGATACCAGAATTTTGTGAGCCATAATAAATCAAATCAATCTAGAGGCTTCCAAATGCAATGAGCATTCAGAGATTCCCATTCAGGCTTCATTTCACTCACGCTGCTCTGTGCAAGACAAGCAGGGCTTTTGCCTTGGAGAAGGAAGATATTTTGCAATTTGATTAGCAGATCACTTAAGAAAGCCAAAAGATTACAGCTGATACTCAAAATAATGCCCTTTGTTTCTGTCCATATGTGGTCTGCAAGAGTGGAAGTGAAAAGATAAACTGTAGCTATCGGAAAGAGTGAGACAGGGTATATCTACACTCCAATTTGTTGTAGAGAATCCCAAGCTAGCTTTAATCAAGCTAGCTTGCATATAAGAAGCAAGCCAGAAGATAGCTCCATATGGAATAATTTATTTGGCCATGAAACCGAATATATTCATATGTGGCTGAATTTCAGGATTCATGTAACAGCTCAAATGTGACCATCCTATTGCAGTAGTACAAATCAGAGTTCCAAGCCAAACTTAAAATAACAAATCCAAATCACGTCTCTTTCTTGATTTTTAACAATGAAAGCTGGTAACCTAAATCTGTCTCTCTCCGAAACCTAGATATGTATTTTACCACTTATACCACAGTATCAGAGCCCTGCTGGGCACTGCCCTACATCTTCTCCAGTTGTGGTACCTCCCATCTTAACAGCTTGATTCCACACTTTGGGATTCAATGTACAGCAGCCGTTGCTCTTTAAATTCACAGAAGCTTCTGTATGCAAATGAAACCTAACTTAAAAAAAGAAAACATGAATATGAAGTTTCAAAGCTCTTGGGACATACTACTCAACTCCTGCAGGCCATGTAGTGTTCAAATCTTTCCCCTCTGGCACTCCAAATAATCTCATCACAGATGAACTATTTAAATTTTTTGCTTCCAGGTTATCATACAAGTAATGATAACCCACTTGTTTTGCTGGGCAGTGGGGAGGATGGTGGTTTCTCCACCTTGTCCCAATATCTGCGCATGGTGTCACAGAGCCACACAAAGAACCAAGCAAAGTGAACTCGGGGTGAGCTTCTGATAGGCAGATTGGGACGCCAGTAAAAAGAAGACAGAAGTGGGAATTATTCTAGCAGATACCTAAGAAAAGCAGCGGAGGGCTGCTTTCTGTAAGGAACAGGCCCACAGCCAACACTCGAAGACCATGGAAAGAAGATAACTTTCAGAGGAGTCTGTAAGCAGATTGCTCAATCCACTCAATCCACAAAAAGCTGCTGAATGCAGCTACATCAGAAAAGAAGAGAGGAGAAAAAGATCTCCAAAGAAAGCAAGCACACGTGTACATTTTGGAACGTACCCACACTTCTGTCACCATGAGGTGAAACTTCTTCCACTAGCATTTGCTCTTGCATCTAATGTAAATTTACACTCTAAAACATTATTGGTTCTCACAGGCAAAGAGATAAGTCCTTTCCTGTGAGATACTCAAGCATTTTTGAAGTAGAAGAGACAGACTCACTGCAGCCTCTTGGAGGCCTGTTCTCAGGATAGTTCTTGTCCCTGACCTATCAGAGAAAAGTCATTCATCCTGCAAAAATGGAACTGCTTCTTTTCAAGGTTTAGTGTTCACCTGCTCTAGTCATTACTGGACATATTGCACCTAAGTACAAGTACATTGAAGCTAATTGCATGAAAATATTTATGACTACTGAATCAAGTGAAAGCCATCTGCTTATTGAAAACCTCCCTGCCATCAACAGCATCCTAATAAGCTGCAACTCAGCTGCACTGAAAAAGTGATACTTACAGCACTCTAAGAGACCTGAGTCCATTGAACGCATGGACTGGAATGCACCGAAGTCTATTGTAGCTCAAGATGCTGTGAGAATGAGAGAACGCAGTTACAACACTGTATTTTCTTTGATCATTCCACTGTTACTTCAACAATGAAGGAGCATGCAAAGCCACATGCTTGAGTCACAAGGTATATACTAACTGTTTAACATCTAGGATAGCATCTGAAAAGCAATTCAAATTTCAAAAACATTGGGCTACTTACAGTGTTGATAACTGGGTCATGTTGCTGAAGGTATAATTGGCCAATACACTTATGCTGTTGTTGCTCAAATCACTGAAGGAATGAATAAAGAAAATATCATTCATATGTATGACTTTAGAGATACATGTCTTTTTTGGAGGTTACCTAATATGTTCACAGCAAAATGATTGAGGCAACGGAGAAGTCAAATGTTAGCAAATGATATATTTTCTAACCGATTTGGACTAAGCTCTAAAAGCAAGTCACATCAGAACATTTTCTCAATAAAAGCCTAGGACTCTTCAGTAAGGCATATTTCTAGCACACAGCATTCCAAAATCAACGACAACAACAAAAAAAAACAAAAGCAAAATTTTCAGAGAAGAAGGACAAATTAATAGATGATACAAGAATGGGTGAATATCTGCTGTACCAGTTTGCTTTTCAATTTATTACAGGCATACCATTTCCATATGCTCTTAACATTGACAGCTACTAGAACGACCCTGTGTGAAAAGAATTCTCACTTTGGAATAAATTGAGTAAATAAAAGATGGGAAAGAAGTTTGCATTGCTTCAGCGAGAAACAAAAAGTATTGCATTGTTCATTGCAAAATAGCCATTTAGGCGCAAATAGAACATTTTATTTTGTTGTTGCTCTCCCGTGAAAAATAAAACTAGAGATATTTCCAAATAAAATATTTTATATAATATATATTATATAAAATATAATATATATACATTTATAAGTACAGTGTATATATATCTACTCCCTATGTATATATTTTATATTTTATATATATATATATGCCTGTTATTGTTCTGCCTATTTGACTTGAGTACCTACAGGTGATTGAAAAAAAATTCTGATTTTTCAGCTGATAAATAGCTGATAAATATTTCAGCTAAGAAATTTTGCTCCAGTGTACTTCAGGGAACAGTTTACTCAGTGAACTCTAGCTGTGCCTCGATCTGTACGAGTATTCATAGTAAAAACAGCTATGTAAATTTTCATTACCTTAGCATTATAAATACTGCGTCAACTAGAACAAATTAATGCTGTCTCCTCTGTTAATGACCTTTACTGCTTTGCACAGATAAATCTGACACGTGGTACAGCAGCACATTCACAGAGGTTTATCCTGTAGCAGATGCTGGAAGCTCCTGCAGGGGAAGGGTCCATGGTGCCCTTGGTCATTTCATTTTGCTCTTTCTCCACTCTTTAGGAACATTCACTGGCAGCAGTTGCTACAGCTAAATTCCTTTCCAATTCAATTTACAGAAGGTTTGTGTTTTTTGGTTGTTTTTTTTTTTTTTTTCCCTAAACACTAATTTCACATGTTCCATCTACAAAACAGTGCAGAAAGAGTCATCTATGTTTCTTGACATTGAAACCATGTACTTACATCAGTGTCAGGTGCCTGAAGGCGGAGAGTCCCTTTGGCACAGCAGTCAGGTGGTTTCCTTCCAGGTATCTGGAAAAAAAAAAGTCGCATTTGACAGTTACATAAACATGTTAAAAACAAGTCTGGTCACCCAGACTGCATCATGAATGAAGAAAATACAAATTAAAGTCAGTTGCTAAGGAAATTGTCTTGGATTCACTGCTTTGAAACTGTAAGAACTTTTCCTTTGTAAGTGAATTATCCCATATGCAAAACATGATGGTAGCTTACTGATGGTTTTGTTCAAAACTTGGAAGCAAATAAAAGATACATGGCCCACAGCAAAGGGAAATGATCACTTGGTCCTCCTAAGACAGCAAATGAAGAAGTAAGGGGAGAAGGATTGTGTGGGTTGTGCCCTTTACAGAGAGTTAGCTTTAATAAGATTGTTGAGAACAGAGTGCTGACTGAACCTGGGGAAAGGTGTTGTGTGCCTGAACATCCCTCGCACCGACAGGAAGAGCTGTGCTTCCAGGTCTCTGTGTAGCACAAAGTTTCACTTGTTTCTCTGTCAACATAAATATCTGTGACTTTGATGCCACGTTTATTACTCTGGGCATCTTTGGTACTTATCAAAGTAATGAGACTGCAACAGAAACGTGCCACAGCACTGCCCTTCACAAAGCTGCCCGAGGCCACGACCACCAGGCCGCAAATCGGCCTTCTCAAAAGTGCCGTGTGGGAGGAATGCACAGGTGGGGACTGAGCATCGAACAGTTTCCTCTCAGAACACGTCAGGGCGTTATTCCTGAGGCAGGCAGACCGCTGCCACTGCTGTGGTACGCTTTGAAATGTTACCACACGTGGTCAGGAAATGGAGCCCACAGACAGCAGAGCACTCCCTGCTCAGAGCATAAGCCAGCACCCACGGCAAGAACGTGCATCCCGCACACGCCATGTCCTTGTCTTTGGCAGCAGACCTCCTTATTCTGCATTTACTGGAGTAAACAACAATAAGAACAGATCACTGCTGTGCCGCATGTTCCCTCCCTACACCAACTGCAACAACACAGAGATATTTATGTAAACGAAATCCAAGAAATGTTTCCCACAAGTTTTATTTTTATTTGACATTGTTTAAAAATAAAATCTATAAACACTAACAGAATTTTTTACATAACACATTTTGCAACTGTCACGTTTTATTTTTCCCCTTTAATTTTGATATAATGACCTGTCATCATTTTTGCTGCCTGAGCTCTCTTTTTAACTGGGCTATCCAGGCAGAATTTCTTGCAAATTGCTGGATGCTGGAGCCTGCTAGCATAAAAGGGAAAATCCTCACTCTGAAATGGGTAAAGAGGAAAGCTCACTTTTCTCCTGTCCCCAGCCTTGTGGTTTTCTGTTTTGTCTGCGCACAGAGTCCCATACAGGCATAGTTACATTGAAGCACGTGGTGGAGCTGACCCAGACCCCGCTGGACAAGCTGGACTATGGGCTTTTGAATTTTTAACCCAAAGCAAAATCCTTCCTTCATGAAAACCTGTTGAGCATTCACAAAGATCACAAGCATTGAGTGCCGCTGTTATAGCAAACAGTTCACCCTTGCAAAGCAGAGAGGGCCGCTCTGCTGCCGCAGGTTACCCCAAACCACGATGTGGATTAGTTATGCCACATTCACGCTTTCCATGGATATTCATAATCAGCAAGTGTAAAGTCATTGCTAATTTTGACTGAATTTGATAAAAAATATTTTGAAAATCAAGTGGCTTGGTGTAGTGTAAATTCACACCATAAATTGTTACACAGAAGATCCTCAGAGTTTAACCACATATGTTACTATTTAGCAGGGCAAATGGTGTCTCATTTCCCCAGTTGTGGTCTGCTATAGATGCATGGGGCTGCTGCTGAGAGTCCGTGCCTTCCCATTTATCCTACAATGTCTGTAAATCCTGTAGTCATGTATGAGGTTAAGTTAAGTCTCCAGTGTTTATTCCACATGTACAATCCAAAGGATTTCCAAAGGAAATCAAAAGCAGGTCATGCATTATATATTTGGAGGCAATATATGATTTTCATTTAGGGAAGAAGACTCAACTCTTGCAATGCATTGAAATCTTCAGAAATAGATTTTCAGGATATTCTGTTGTTGATCCCAATATTAAATGGTGTGTTAAAAGCTGTTTTATTTTTTTTATTTTTATTTTTTTTACTATTTTCCTTTTTTGTGGAATCAAAACTTGATGGTGTGCATTTTAATCCAGTGCTTCACTCCTTCAACTAACACAGACAGGCCGGCTCCTGCAGTTAAACTCCTACAGAAGATCTGCTTTGAACAGCACTGGATTTGTACTGCAGACAATCTGATGGTTACATAAATGTGCTTGCAAACAGCTGCAGTACTTACACTGATGGTATAATTTCTGAACACAACTGTATACTGAAAAATTACTGACCATACACTTCTCATGCATGCAGAAGATCAATTCCCCACTATTAAGCCTTATGCTACATTATACAAAGGAAGGCAATATTTTCTAAGCAACGGGCATTCATTTTGAAAGTACTTAAGTGTAATGGATTTGAAATAACCAGAGCCTTACAGACAAAAGAAGATGCCAAGAGCCAGGAAGGTCTGAGCCGCAGTATTTGAAGAGCACAATGGCAGCAGATGAACTGCCATCCTCAACAAGCAAGGCTCCATCAGAACAAGGAGCAGATACGGAGCGACAGCTCTGCCCTTGGCTTGGCTAAAGGTGATCTACAGGGACAGCAAGAGGGCTGGAACTGGATCTAGTGAATAACAGAATTATTCCTGAGAGTGTAGGGGCAAAGCCCAGTAATAAGACTCTCTGCGGGTACATCTAAATATGGAGGAAGTTACAAAAAACAAATCCAACAAAACAACGGGATAATGTAGAGGAAAGGTTGTAATTTCTAATTGTTTCTAATGCTTAGCCAAAGTAAGATGATGTACATGACATCTGGTGTGCAAAGAAATTCTGGCATGAATGAAAAAAATTATGTCTAATTTTAACACGCAGAGTCAAGTTATTAATACAGAGAGACAGAGTCAAGAGTGGGTGTCAGTGCCTTAATGCAGACATGCTGTCTAGTATTCCGAACAACCTCCTTTGCTTCCTAAAGTCTCTAAAGTCTGCACTTTAATGTATCAGATTGGAAATTGTTTTTTATCCCATGAATGCTGCTGGGAATCCTGCAGTCTGAATAACAACCTGTAGCCAACAGGTAACTACCAGAGTCAAAATAGGAAAAAACTCCACAAAACACATGCTCATGTTCTTACAGAACAACACCAATCGTGTGTCAGAAAAGATTCCTAAAAACTCACAGGAGCACTAAAGGCAGAAACCTTTAGGAGGTTTAGCACCCGGAGGGCAGGTGCTGTGGGTACAGCCAAGCATTGCTCGCCCCTGCCCCACCTACACCAGGTCCTGGAGCCCAGTGCTCACAGCCTCCAGGCGCTCACCCAGCACCTTCCACAAGCACTGACTTCGTGTATTAAACATTTAGAGCTATGCATAAAAGATGACAAAAGCATCATGTAACCATCTGAATTACCTGGACATTTTTTCTACTGAAATGACCATTGAGCCATAAAGCTGAGCTCACAGCAGCAATCTGTGCTACAAGGAGAAACTGGAGAGAGGAATCAATTATCAGGCAGTAACTGACACAGCACAAAGCCTTTTCTTTAATTTCTTTGAATATTCCGATTACAGATTGTTATATTAATCCAAATACAGATTGTTATACTAAAAAAAAAAGAGAGAGAGAGATTTGACAATTTTATGCAGCTCTAAAAGTTATTGTTGAAACCTTTTCATGCAGGATGCAGTATGCTAACATTTTGATGCAAGTTTTATTTCCTGAAAAAGGTGGCCTTGAATAGAACTGGTGTGAAAGATGAAATATGTGAGGATACCACACATCTGCAAAACATGAATTTTAAGAGTTTCAGTTACAGTTTCCTGAGAAGAAACGCAATTCAAGCACTGATTCAGGTACGAGTCTGGATCTTACATTTAAGAAAGGCTTGGAAAATTGGATTCTGGATTTTGCTGCACTGATATGTCAGACCACCACCCACATGGTTGACACACAGAAATGTGACCGTGTTTGTGATATAAGTGAAGGCCCTGAAGTTACACTTAACTTTATTCTCTTAATGCTAAAATCACCTTTCTGACATGCACTCCAACTTCACTCATGCAAAATATCATTTGAGACTGCTGATCTATTTAACTGTTCTAAACAGATGGCTGCAGATTTTAGTTCTAGATTTGAACTGCAGCTAGAATATTCTTCTGTAGACCTATCCATTCCCTCAAGTGGGAGAGCTTTGCTTTGCTGGAACAGGCAGCAGCCCAGAGGCAAATAAGGAAGAGTTGAAAGGCTGTTGGATGGATTCCTCACCACTCAGCCTCTACTGAAAAGTGCAATGCAAAAAGGAACTGACCAGGCTTGCAGGCAAAGAAACAAAGCATGTCGAGGAAAAAACATAAGCACGAGAGAAGTTTGTAAGGAGAGAAACATCCAAAGCAAGTACAAAGATTAGTATGTATTAATATAAATCACGAGCAGTGATGTATGGTTGATGTCTGAGAATCCCATCACTGCTCTCATATAGCACAGTGCCATGACAACACTGGGTCTAGAGATGACACTGTCCACACGACTGCCTTCAGCTTTTTCCCTCAGTGCAAACTGTTACTTCCTGTAGGTCTATAAAAGGAATAGGATCTTGTCAGATAAGACTGTACTAGAAATAGAACATGAGTTTATCAGAAAAAAAGACCAGCACTCACACACTGAAGTAATATGTAGATGGAAAAAGAGCATGGGAAACTTAGTTCAAACAGACTTTAAAAAAAGAGAGAAAAAGAGAAGAAAGCCTAGAACACAAAGCAGGAGTGAGGTTGTTCCAAACGAGCTCACTGCATAAACACGTGTTGAACTGCTGGACAAGAAAAGTGGCCGCGGTCAAAGAATGAAGGCTTCTCTTCAGAGCAACTAAACAAAGGGAAAAAATGCAGGCAGTATGTGTATATGTATTTATGAAAGGAATCTGGAAGAAACAATACGGTATTTCCCTATTCCTAGGAAGCTGAACACCCCATGATGATGAGTTCTGGGAAAGAAGCTCTGGGAAATACAGATTTCTTGTACTGTCATCCATTTAGAAGGCAGGAGTCTCTGTGGTCTCCCCAGCTCTGTTCTGTGTGGAAGCATCCTCTGCCAAGGCAATCCCTGCTCCCAAGGGACTGCAAACCAAGCACAGGTACATCTCCTGCCACTCCAGCTTTAAACAGGAGGGAGATAATAGATTTCCCATTTGCTGTCGATGTCCACATTCAGAACAGAGAATCAGGACGAAGCTGGAAGGGGTGAGCCCAAATCTCCAGTACACCATATCACAAACATTTCAGCTGAGCACAGTGAAACGAAACCCAGCAGAGGTTAAATAACCTTTTCCCTGCTTGTCCAGGTCAGAGTTACGTACATCTTTTCACACTGGTATTTAATGTCTGTTTTACACAAGGAAAGAATTCCTGCTTCGAGGTTATTTTAAGACCTCTAAAAGAATTTAAAAGATTTCATGAGAAAGTTGTATTCACCCTCAGCAGATTGGTTTATCCAGATACATGGCAGTGTTTTCTTTTTTTAATCATGTTGTATAAAAACATACTGCAGGCTAATAGAAAACACTGCAGCTAATGTGCCTTGTAAGAGATTGAAGTTTATAAATGCCAGACTGGCACATTCATAAAAGTCCCACTGAAAAGCTCCCCTGTATCCCATCACCTTTCAGGCCACCCACAAGGGAGCTGCGGGCTTTGAGGACAGGAGGCTCTTCATGCCGCGTCCCTTCCTTGGCACAACCTCTGTCCTTAGTGGCTTTGTGCTATGGGGGAGGCATGGGCCCATGCACTGCCTGCAGGTTGCTGGCCTGACAGTGCAGAAGGGGAGAATGGCAGAAGCGGAGAAAGGCAGAATGAGCTGAGGTAACATGGAGAAGGTTTTTTCTCTCCCAGAGCAGCTCTGACTGCTGTACTGGTTGGGAAAGGCGAAGGCATCCTTGCCCTGGAGAGAGTGATGGCTCTCCCTGGCCATGTGAAATCATGTCTGATGCAGCAGGTAACTCATGTGCTGTGCAGTTCCTAGTGTCTGTGACAATCTTTGGCAACATACTTCAGCCTCTAGACACAGCTGAAGGGATCTGGGACTGCGCTGTGGGAAGGAGGGCATTTTGGTGTGAGGAGTGTAAACTGACTGAACAAAACTAACCACTGCGTTCAGACAGTTATTGGGTTCAGTCTGCCAAACAGCTGTGGTCCTCAAAGTGAGGCAAGAGGTGGAGTCCCACAGGAGATGTTGATTGCCACAGCAATTATGACAATTCTCAAATAGAGAACAGTAAAAACTACACGCTATTAACTTGATACATTGTCTTCTAGATTATGGTTAGCATGCTAAGCTGGAAGCAGAAGAAAGGCAAGTAAGACTGATTTTATTTCATTTTGTAAATTTTGTTCTTTTCACTGTTTTCACAAATTTTTTTGCTTCAGTAACTGCAGCTCATTTTTTGGCATAGATACATATAAGGAGTTCAATTTATGTTGGTTGAGAGAAAAGTGATCAGGATTGAACTGGGAGACAGTTGGGACAGATTCAAGATTGTATTTGCAGAACATGAACAATTCTGAGCCAGCCTGTCCATGGCTGACTGTGTTCTGCTGACACATTTCTGGATTGAAAGCAGAAAACAGAACTAGAAGCTTGCATAGCCATGAGGCTCCTACTGAAGAAGACAGTCATAGTAAGCCTCTATGAACTCAAACTGCTCAATTCCAGGCTACTGCCTCAATTGCCAAAGAAATAGCTTAAGAAATGTAGCAGTTTTCAAAAATGTGAGATTAGCTTCACTCTTTGTGAAAATTATGTTGTCAGTGTATCGGATAGTATCAGTGAAACCCGACATGCAAAATTTAAGGATAAAAATTCCTCAGAATGGCAGTGGAAATCAAAGCAAAATCTGTGCTATCTTATTCTTGGCAAGTCATATTTGAACAAGAACAAGATCTGAACAAGAAAAGAGTAGAAACTGTATAGATTCTTTATCATGGATGACAATATATAAAGTAATACACAGGCCTGGACTTGGCTTTGGATTCAAACCACTTCAAACATACCCAGTGTTCCCATGGATGTATTAATCTGTAAAAAATATCCACGTTATTTTTAATTCCCACACACACTCTCAGTCCACTCCCCATTAAAGCAACAAGGCCCTATATTTGACTACAACATAGCTAAAAACAGACAAACCCCCTTCAACTGCAAAGGAAGTAAAAGAATGTGCATTTCACTCATCAGTTGCCACATTACTGAATGGGGTAAAGCAGAAATGATTTTCATCCATTACAAAATTCAGTGAACACAACAACTAACTCAGCCAACTACATTCATACAGAACTATTGATGAGCTTGTAAAAAGCTTCAGGAACAATTCACCTGGGATAGATTTGAATAAGTATCTATAGGAGAAAAGCTCTGTATTTCCACTGCCAACTGTTTAAGCCAAGCAGTGCCACTAAGGTATTTTCTTTCTTTGGAAAGAATCAAAATCCAGTATAATAGTAAGGAGTAGTTGAAAAGAAGCTTAGAAAGATAGTTCTCAACTAGGATTTGTTTACTTTACCATGTAATCTAATTATCAGTTATTTTAGACATTTCATGAGGCTTGGAGAAAACTCATTGTTTGTTTCCATCACATGGCAGATTTTTTTCCTCCTCTCTGTCTCCTTAGAGGATAATTAGCTCACAGCTGCGTAAGTCAGGAATACATTTTCATCGTCCTTTCAAAATGCCTATCGTGAGTTCAGGCAGCTCAGAAGCACTACGGAATCATTTGATACTAATACATGCACTTGTTCCCAACAAAGAACTAATGAGTGCAAGGACAGATGAGCTCTGTTCCCACTGTACAGCAATGCAGTTGGTCACGGGACAAATAAATGTAAAAATAACAACAGTTAAAACGTACAGAAAGCACCACAACACAAAATACCAGCCACTCTGTCACTGAAGTCAAAGGTAAAAGCCCCAAAGGACCCACAAAGCTTCCCCACAATGTAATGTCATGAACTTCTCATGAAAGGGGCCACGTGAAATGTAACTTACAGCTCAGTCACATCTTTGGGAATTCCTTTGGGCATTACTCGCAGCCCTTTGTTGCTGCAGCGTACCACCGAGTCCATGCAGGTACACTGGGAAGGACATGGAGGAGAAAGCAAGCAGCTGCTTTCATCGTTACCTGCAGAGGAGAAATGGGATGCTCAGAAGGGAAATCAGCTTTCAACGCAGCCTGATGCACTTTGACAGCAGATTCTTACAAGGAGCAGTGAGGAACATCCCTGAATCCAGGCTGACCATCACAGAATTTTGAAGTTGCTCTTTGGATCAACATACAAGTTCTTCAGGCAACAAGAGCAACAGTTGAAAAATGGAATGGCCGCATTTTTAAATAAATATATTACATATATATTTTCTCCCAAGCAGTATCTACTTCTCTGTAATCTTTCAAATACTGTAAAATCAGTTATGTGAATCCTAAATCCTTCCCCTGTCCCCAGGATGGACATGGTGAAATGGATAACATGTTGTCCTCAAACTCATCTAGATAGATGACATTCACGATCTACTCTGTTCAAGGAAGACTTTTCTATAAATTCAATTTTTAGACGTTAATTTCTTATTTTCTAACATCAGCCTGGCACTTCATTTATCATTTGAATTGAAAATCTCATTGCTTTTGACAGGAACAACCAGGCAAACAACAAACTGAGCAGCATACTTCCAACTGCTGGCTGCCCATCTGTGCACACATAAAAATATCTACATTTTCCAAAAATGGATTCAAAGTTCCATAAACAGATTAAATCCCATAATGGAAGAACAATAGGTTCTGCAGAACAAACCAAGTCTTTGAAGTTAAGAACACTCAGGCATGGATTTTCCCCAAAAACAACAGGCTTTACAAAACATGAAGCAAATGCATAATACAGTATCATGATGTATATGGAAGAAAACACTTAGTGGCACATTCTGTAGATGACAGTGAGGGGAACCACACAACTGTTTGAGAGTACAGGCAGCCTGAGTGGACCAGTGCCGAGACACAGGGCTGCAATCCAGAGCACAGTCAGCCGTCATTACGTGCCTTCAGTTGTTAAAAACTGATGCAAGGACTAATTGAGACTGATCTGTTTCTTCCTTCTCCCTGCTGGATGTACCCATGAGAATTGAGATTAAAGAATAGGAGTGGAACTCCTGCTACAAGATAACAAAATTACCCATAAATGTATGGGCAGGGAGTCATTTGTATTCAGTGGGATGGAGAGGCATGACTAGTTTACAAAAGAACAGGGATTCTTTTTTTCTTTTTTTCTCTCTAGTTGAGCTTTGCAGATGGAAACAAAATTCAAAGCCTTTCGGAAACCTGCAGAAAATGTATTTTATGCATATTCAGCATATTCCATTTTCCCCTGAATTCTGTTTTTCACATCCTGCCACCACGTACCTTTCATTCACCACAGCTGTTTCACTGCCTGTGCAATGGAGAAAGCTCCATGTGCAATGGAGAAAGTGTGGAATGTCATTTCATTGACCAGGATTTTTACTTTCCTAACTAAAAGCTAATTATTCCTTAAAGACTAAACTTGGTTCCCTTGTGCTCTGAGTCCAAAGCATTTGGGCCTGCTGCCAGGTTGCCTGACTAGGGCAGAAGTTCATTTCAGCTCCAAGTAGGAAACTCACATTACTCTCAAAGTCTCTTTAGAGGTATGAGTACCAACACATCTGAGCCTTAAAGCAACTACAACCTACAAGTTAGTTAGCAGTGTTTTCGTCTGTCAGTTTTTCTTATTTTCCTTAAATTCTGCTTGATCGTAAGAACTACCTGAAGAATAATGACATCTAAGGAATTTCTTTTTTCATTTGTAACATATGGACATAGCAAGGCACTAAGCATCACTGAGTCTTAAAGGACCATCTGCATTTTTTTTTATTATTTCCCTGCATTCATTTGCTAACGGTTAAACCAAGCAGTTCCCCAAATACAGAATAAATTCCAATCAAAGATCACTCCCACAGGCTTCAAAGAATTTTAACTACGTGCATGAATAAGGAAGTGGGAGGAAGAGCTAGGGTTATATTGAGATTACACAGATCAGAGCATTTGTCTTTCATGAAATTGTTCTTTAAGTGAGGGTAGTGGAAATGCAGAATGTGGACAACAAGAATGAAAGTAAACTGATAGGGAACAGTGATCTTCGGCTGTAGAAGGCTGTCTTCATCATCATTAAACAGAAGTGTTCACCATGGATTATTGCCTGATAGGCAGGGAGGTGCTGACGCAGGGTCAGCATTACCACAGACACCAAATTGGACTGGACTTTCTTACCCTCACAGGTGAAATCCTGGGTATCTACATCTTGGATTGGAATATCCTTCAAGAAAAAGGGTTTCAAGCAGCGTGGATTTCCACTGACAATTCTCTTCTTCCTCAGCCACTTTCCCAGCCAGGCCAAATGACAGTTACAATTAAAGGAGTTAGCCAGCAAATTGCTGAAACGGAACAAGACATAATTGCATCAAAAAAAGAACATACAGAAATACTTAAATAAATAGTGAAAAAAGACAGGTTCCACGTCCAGACTCTTTCCTGCCATCTGTTTCTGTGAGATCCTGTTCTGTTCTACAGACAGAGCACATGCTATGCAGTTTTGATAGGAATTAGGGTTGTAGTAAAATATATATGCATATAAATATATGTTTATAAACCAAAGTACTTACTGCTGTATCTATTATTTAGATGCACTTGCATCACCAACAGGGCTTTACTCACAAGTGTATTTAAGCTCAAGCTATAGCCCACACTCAAGCCTAAACTCAATTCACACAGTGGCACATATATGCACGATCTTCAGAGGGGTGACTTCAGCTGATGCCACACAAAAGCTTAGCATACACCTACAGTACTGTCTCACATGTGCAGTGGGGTGGGAGCTTCTTTTGGGTTGCTTACAGAAATAGTTGCATAAAGGTTGCCTGCATGCACATACGTATATACCCACAGATGTATATTAAGCAGCGCTGTCAGCTTGGGCCACTCCTTATGAAATTTCCCTTCTATGCTCAGTACTATCTGAAAAACACATGATTTACTGCTTTCTGGACTTCACGAGGTCTGCATCAAATTGCAACGACTCCAGAATATCCTTCCAAAACAGCTTCAGCTTTGCTACAGCACTATGGTGTGCAGGACACAAAGAAACACACTGACAGCCTCTCTAAGAGGAAGGGATCTATAGCACAGCTTGTTTTAGCAGTATTTGAAAAAAGAAAGCCCTATCCATTCTCTTGTCAGGCCACAAAAGCATAGATGTCACAGCCATTTCTCAGTGGGACACCTGTAACATAGATATCGGTACAGAGAAGCAATTATTCACATGCATTTCTTAATAGCCTGCGTTTCTTGAAAGGAGTGTAAGGTGACACTTATTTTGAACAAGGATATTTCTAAGCTAGTTAGAATTAGAGTTGAGAATCCTGTACCAAAACTCGTATATATTATTTGTGTGTGTTTCATAATTAAATTTAAAATGAAGGCAAGAGGCTGACAGTCCTGGTAAAAGAGAAGGCTGACTCTTTTTCTGCGCAAACACAGAGAGAATCAATAGCCTGAGTTTAGGACTCCATACTGAAGAAAAATGAACCGTCAGAGCCTCACGTATGGAAAATGCAGTGTCCAAACTAATGCTGAGGGAATTCTCACATCATACGTATGTCCAAGGCTTCTCATTTCAACAGAACAGAAAAATAGATTATCATGAAATTCCTCCGTAGCACATCATATCTTAAAACAAAAAATGTTTCCTAAAGAAACACACACTTCAAATACAGGTGCAGTAGCTGAAGGTCTTGGAAATCTTCACTTGCAACATACCTTTGGAAACCTAAATGTGTAGCCAAGATCACATTAGGTTTTCAACCAAGCAAATCCTTTGGAATGCAATAGTGCTGAAGGTGAAAACATCTGGCACAGCTAAGGTGCAGCAACAAGAAAACAAATCCAAACAAATTCCTAACTGATGTAGGTCCTAGGTCAACATGACATCAGCAAAACGTGAGTTACAGCTGCTCTCCGTGTCAGAAAAGCACACTCCAGTCACTGCACACTACAATCACTGCAGCAGCCAGGAGTTCTGCATCTGTAATTACATGGGGAGCCAGCAGAGACTGTTGTACGTGTTGTAGAGGAGAAACAGGGACTACAGTACTCAGTTGAATGCTTGATAATACGAATGCTCAACCTACTACATACTGACTAGGATTTGGTGGCAAGGCTAATTTGCTGTATAAAGATGAAAAAATAAAGAGGTTATGAAGAAGCTTTCAGTTGGAACATGCAGAAATAAAAGCATCCATCTAATTTTGGTTACTTTCTTTCTGAATTATTCTCTTTTTTTTTTTTTAATCCATAATGGGTCCATATGCAGGGCACCTCATGTACTTTCCATACGGACATACTTTGGCATGAAGTGTGTTTAAACCAAGAGTTTAGACCTCCAAACCTAAGTGAACCATTGCTTCAAACATCATTTGTTTCACTGATGGAAACGAGTGAGATCATATTCACAGAACAACTTCCATGACACAAATCCTTACAATGAAGTCACCCACAATTGGAAACAAGCAGCAGGTATATGTAATCAGGTTACTAGAAAACATGCAGCTCAGAAAGTAAGGAAAAACTTGCAGAAACATTCATATGGTCAGCCTACAGATCACTCCCATCAGAATAGTAATTATGCCCATTTTATAGAGGTTTCTTTAACTTCATGTGTTACTGCCCATTAGCCAAGCAGCAGCAACTATCCACAAACCCTCACCTTTTTTCTTGGCAAACACAGGTTAACATATCACTAAAAATATTAAATCCTTGGCTTACATTTGGATTATACTTTTCCTAGCAACCAAGCAACATATTAAATGAGTGGAGAAATAAATCTGTTGTTCTGAAAGTCAAATAAATGCAGGGAAAAATGTTAAAGATTTATCTTGTCACAATCACGTGTTCTACTGCCACTTTAGTGGCACTTGAATTTCATCCTCTGTCCAACTGAAGACCAGCCTCTTTCTTCTTTGTTTAATATAAAGGTGACGTGAGCACATATATACTCTTTCCAAGGCAAAACTGTGAGATTAAGGATCTCTGAAGTGTCACATTGGACAAGAGATCCCCTACGTGACTTGAAAAGCAACTGAAAGTCTAGGACAGCCAATTGTTTTCATAATTTTATCTTGGAATCTGGCTGTTCAAGTGAACTTATCACAAACATTGGGAAAATTGTTTTAAAAATTCATAATTAGTAATCAGAGTTCCCACATGCACTATTTAACCACTGTAACAGAAGCAAAGCAATCACGCTTTTAGCAAAGATGTCTTACTAACATTAAATTCATAAGTGCTTCCTCAAGGACACAAACATATTTTCAAAATCAAGGGTGAATAGAAGTCTTGAGAAATGAAATATTCATATCCTACTACAAGCGTCTCTGTTAAAAATTGCAAAGGATAGAATATTAACCCTTTACATGAATTCTGGTGACTTGCTAGAAAAACATGCTGAAACGCGTCTGGATATTGTTGAAATTAGGCTGAATACATCTTGGGATTCAAGTAAAGTTTATGAGAGAACAGTTGCATGCTTAAGTCATGAAGAGGCAGTTCTGCTTACAAACATGCCCAATTGACACTATAAGGACTGAAAGACATGACCGAATACCACGTATACAAAAGTGCAGGTGCACTTCCAATTAGGATGCTAAATACATATTTTGACTAGTAACAATCAATAAGAACTGCTATTTTTTTCCTCAGTAATTTACAAAATTGATGTTTCTCCACTACTGAAAACCATTAGCACATTATTTTCAGAGCTGTCCATGTTTTGATAGTATCAGTGAGGCTGCTACACTAAGCAATAATAAAAGGAGCAATGTTTTTTTAAGAGCTGTAAATACACCAAGATAAAAAAAGGAAAGAAACGTTAAATTTTGTAGGTTCTGGCTCCCACTGGCAGATACAGAGTTGAGTCATTGCAAATCCTAATTAACTCGCAAGTGTGGGCTGAATGGGGAAAGCAGTCATCGTATGCATCTTCAACAGTGTTGTCATCTCACGTAACTACCTACAATAGAGTGCTTCTAGGAAATGAACACATTTGCATTTCGGATTCATTTGTGAAAGATCATTATGCCCTGTTATGTCCCAGTGTCACAAGAAGTCAAAAGCAAACCTCCTCCTGCCTGTACTGTTCGTGGATCACCTAAAAATGTACAGAATGTAAAAATGAACAAAACTTTTCTTCAAGACACCAGTAGAAACTTGCCATGACCAACACGATACTCAGCCAGGGCCAAAGCAATGCAGTCTTATTACGAGCAGCTTTAGCTTCTCTTGCTATAAATTCTAACATTCGTCATCTGCAGCTGAAAAAAGGAAACTGGGCATCTTCTAACAAAATATGACAAAGACACATCCATGCAAACAAGGCAGGGACTTTACAGACTGATTCAGAGTTACAGCTATGAAGGAAATACAGAAGCAATCGTGCAATAAGCAGGCAGGCACTGCTTGCAGCACTGAGAGAACAAGCTTTCAGTAACTACCACTAGATTTGACCCATGACTTGAAAACAGTCAATAAAAATAATCTGGTTGTCTTTATTTCTTTGTCCTCCAGCTTCAAGGGGGCTTTTGGGGCTACAGAAAATAAATGAAAACAAAATCTAGGTTCAAAACCTGAAATGCAATAGCTCCAATAGTTTGTTTTTATTGGACAATTAGGGTCTATTTTCAGGGCAGTGTGAAGTGAATTAATCAGACAACTTCCACTTACAGCAACATCAGGGTCCACATTCACAGCTGGAAACAAAGAGCAGACTTTCTCTCCATATTTATCAATCTGTACTTTATTAAAATGGACACATTGTAAGAAGTACAGAAGAATATTTTAACAGCAATGGAACTGCTTCAAAGAAGTACTGAGAAATATAAGACAATTATCAGAAAAGCTTAGATTAGAAATTTCAAATTCACATTCAGCAGGGCTGGAGTATTTTGTCTTATTAGGCTCTTCTGAAAATCTACGCATTAGCTACTTGTTTTCTTCTGATATTTATCTTATTCGACTGAAATCCAAGAAGGCTGCCGTTACAAAATTACTCCACTGAAACTAATGAAGCTATGGGGAGCTCAAGTGTAAGATAAGCTACGCAGCTCTGAATCTGAAGAAGCTGCTTTACATGAACCCTCCGGTGCACTGCACTAACACGGCAAAACACGCAGTCATTCTGCCTGAAATTGGCAACATCAAATTGGCAACAGTTCTAATGGTTTTATGAATGATACCCTGATGGTTTCAAACCTGTGATTTCAGGATAGGGTTTTCTTTCTTTAAATGAGGTTTTCCAAATAGGAATAAGACTTTTGATTTTGAAACTCAAATGCTGTCTCCTTATAAAGAAAGTATGGAACAAAAACACCACAACATGTTCACATTTTAAGATAACTTACATTGTAGACAAAGAGACTAATGTGCTGAAGGCTCCAGGTGTGATGGTGCTGATGTGATTGTCGTACAGAGAAAGAAGCCTCACCGAGCTCAGTCCAGCAAAGGTGTCATTGTTTATGCAGCTGATAGAGTTGCTCCTCAGCATCCTGAAAAGATTTAAGAAAGAACTTAAGAAATATTGGGAGTGGGTACAGTTTCAAGCTAGGATGTTCAGTTTCTAGGGCATCAACAGATGGTTTGGCAATCACTAGGCTCCATTTTTATTGACTGCTGTAGGACTAAACAGCCAGAGGAGGGCTAAACTCATGTAAACGTTGTCTCCTGAATTTAGAATGCATTTCCTCTACATAACATTAGGAACTAATGGAAAATTGACATGTGAAATTAGTTTGGAATTAACGTTATCACTAGTGGTAAACTTGAATTAAATACTCTCAAGTCTCTTGATTTACTAAGTGTCTGAGAGCAAGATGTATTTCAGAGATGCATTGAGAAAGGCTGTCAGAAATGTGTGACAGTAACACTAACTGCATTGCTTCTATCGTGGATGTAATCCACAATGCAAAAGCATGGAAGGAAAGAGAGTCCTTAGCAGAAATGAAGGGATAGCTTAAGAAACATTTCCAGATGTAAAGCAAGCTCTGAAATCCTGTTAGTATCACTGACAGGACAGATAACAGTAACCATTCCATAACTGTTTTATTTTTGCTCTGTGTTTGTATCAGACGAATCAATGCTGTGTATCAGAAGATATCTTTCTCTGAGTTGTTATGGTAACAATGAACTCCACGATAATTTCTAATTAATTTAAAAGACTGTAGTGTCTTGTTTCTCTCCACAGCAAAAAAAGGCTTATGAGTATTTGTTACAATTCATGCCACTCAATAGCTGGATCTGTAAACATCACCATTGTAATATCTCTACTTAGGTGAAATATTACTTAGTAATTAAAGCACACAATCAGAAATATACAGAATACATGCAGCTCATGCTGCTCTGAATTGAGGACTGTTCATTCTATGGTATCACATTCTTGCAGTGAACAACGAAAATTCAGACTCTGTCAGAAGTCTGGCCTGCAATCTCCTGCAAGTTGGGCATTTAGGTATTAGATCAGTAGACTTTTCAGAAACACCAAAGAGAGATTAAATATAGCAAAGAAATCACAGTGTAATCACAAACACTCAGTGTGTAAGACCTGGATATTGCACTGCTTTAGCATTACTCTTCTCTGCATATAATAATCATCACAGCCACCACAGTCTCAGTAGTTTCTGTGCTGCAACAGGAACGAAGCTTTCAGAAAAATCCCAGACACAGAACTCACACCTTGTACATGGAGTACTAAGCTGCTTGAAAGCCAGGTCACAGGCTCCAAAAGGTGAGTGTAAACACAAAAAATAAGACCTTCAGTGGCTTTGGTCACTTCAGGAAATTCATATATTGAAGCAGTAGGAAACATTTTTTCAGTTCTGTAAGTGAAGTGTCAGACAGTAGTTCTGAAAGGTGGTTGGATTACAATATATATTTCATGGTGATCTGTTACATTTTAGGAAAAAGTCTTTTAAGAACTGGACTACAACTCTGTCCAGCGTGGCCTCTTCACAAAAGGTCTTAACTTTAGTGTTCAGAACAAGTTAATCAATGGATAGACATACACGTCCTTCAAGCTTAAACCTTTCCTTTCATACCATGGTATACCATGCACTGTGTGCCCTTCCTGAATGAAAACTTATACTTACAGATCCTCATTTCATGCTGTGTGTATTTAGACTGCTTTATCAGCTAGGGAGAAATGTAGGTCAGGTCAGCAGGACCTGAATATTAAGTATCTTTTTATTTAAAAAATGCTGACTACTCTTTTGGAGTATGGCTACAGACTGCTTTACATTACGAAAATCAATTTAGTATCTATGAACAATATTTTAAATTCCCTTAGTAAAATGCTTACATTAAAGACCAGATGGCTGTAACCACAGGAAAATAATGTTAAGGAAGAACAGAAGAAAAGATCCCTATTTGTCATTACAGGCCAAAGTCCTCCAAGTGAAGCCTGGATATTTTTTTCATACTTGTACTGAAGGAATTGTGCGATGATATTGTGCAACATAAGATGCATTTGCTGCTAATGATGAATACATTGCAGATTTTAAATTTCATTTTGATTCCTAGAGTCTTCATAATGACAGCAGCCACCTCATCAAGTGATTTCTTTCCACAGCAGGGAGACTGTGCAGAAGTGGGTATTTTTCACATGCAGATCATACTCATCGCTTGGCATGAATCTCTGCGGTCACCAGAGGCCTGACTGCTTCTCAGGATAGGGAAAAGGAGTTGATAGGATGCCATCTTGAAATCCTGTCTTTGAGCCTTCTTCCAATATATTTTTTAACTTGAAAGTAAATGAATGCTACTTACTATGAGTTTATGTATAAGCAATACTTATAAGAAGTAAATTGCAAAGTTGCTCTAAGAGCAAAAGTAACACCAAACTGATTTCTTATGCATTTGTGCTCTGTGCCTCATATGCACTGTCCCCAACAGCAACCATGTTAATAGTACAGCTGCAGGTATGTTTTATAGCACTTGGGGCTATCTGGACATCTCAAAGCCAAGTGTGCACTCATGGCCAGCTATTCCTGGTGCAAAGTCAGTGGGGCAGCTACCTTCTGCCATCAGGACCTGCAATAATTTGGTTAGGACCACCTTAAACTGCTTAGCTACACCAACTTTTGGTGGTGGCAATAATTCAAGACTTTTTTCTTTGTCTCCTGCTGATTTAATGTAGCTTATAGGATATTAAAAATTGCTTAGGTTCCTCCTCTCCTCTGAGGTTTGGTTTACACAGACCAACAATTCCAATTTGGATGGAGGGGGTTGTGGGTAGATGAACTAATAGCTAACAAATACATTCACAGAATCACAGAATTGTAGGGGTTGGAAGGGACCTCCAGAGATCATCGAGTCCAACCCCCCTGCCAAAGCAGGTAATTCCCACACACCTTGTTTCTATAGGAAATAGTGTAAGTATTAAGTGATTAAAAGCACCTAAATTTGGCAGGTTCACCATCAAGTTGCTCCTGAAACTTTTGAAAATCCGTTTTCTTCTACAGAAAGTACATCAATCTCTCACCTACTCAGGACTTTACTCAGCTATTTACTGCAGGTTCATCACACTGAAACAAGACACTGCGTTCGAGCTTGTTTTCTAGTAACAGATTTTAGCAAGCATAGCTGAATTTGAGTGTTCCCACTCAAGATACAGCGGAAAAGAGAAAGACAGGTGTTTGCACTCACAATGTCTTCAGCCCCGTAAGGCCCCTAAACATTCGTCCATGCACTGATTCCAGTTGATTCTCTGTCAGAATCAGCTCCTGAACTCCTGAAGCTCCATCAAACGTGCCTTCTCGAATCTCCTTGATCTTATTATTGCTCAGATTTCTGGAAAGAGACAACCAGTCACAAAAAGAAGAGGATTAGTGTTTCATTCAAAACACGTATCATCACACTGGAAAGGAGAAGGACAGTTATATGCTTTTCAGTGGTTATCTAGTAAAGCATGCAGTCAGCAAGGAGAGGATAGAGCAGCTCAGAAGTGTATTTAATGTACTTACAAATAGCTCTCTTCACTCCACTTATAAAAAATACAGATCAGATTATCAAGAGTATTTAAATCCATGGAATTACCAGCTCTAATACCTCATCTCATCGACGGTAAGTGTCTCAGACCTGCTATAAACTGGGTTTTTTAACACAGATTAGCATCCTTGAATTTACAGATTCTGCTTGGGACTGGGTGCTCAGCAGAAACAGTATTACTACCACTGAAATAGGGATCATCATATTGAAACATGTTTATTTAGCAAACCCCAGTCTTTATTTTAAACTGACCACTGGTATAAATGTAAAAAACTGTGTGACTGAATGCATCTGATACAAATTTTAACATGCGCACTCATGAGCTCTTAGGCATTTAAATTTAATACCATCTTTTAGAATGAAATGAGTATCATTTAACTCTCCGTTCACACCTACTGCAATACACAACATTGTTTTCTAAATATTTACTCTGCCTCTGCAGCCTCAAGATGTTTGTTGTAGATCAACACTGGAGAACTTCAGTCTAGAAAGTCAAATGAAGTCCCGATGGAATGAAAAGTGAATCTTCTGAATATTTCATGTTTGTGAAAAACCCAGTGAATAGAGAGCTTCTGAATGATAAAATGCCCTTAGAAATGCATAAAAATAAATGGCTCTTAATTATTTAAAACACTTATGTAAAAGGCCATAGCACATGAAAACCTTGGGCCTCAGTCCTTCAAGCACGCCCTTATGAAGTCCTGTACAGACTGTAGTGACTAATCCTATTTGTTTAGGCTTTTGACAGGCAGCACTATTTTTGTTTCACTGTCTACAATAAAAAAGAGAAAGTAAAAAATACACTCTTGTTCCCAAGAAGATGCCAAATTCCAACACTATTGCTAATACTGAACAATATCTTATTCCAGAAATGATCCCACTACACACAGCATGAGTAATAGTTTCAAAATCCAATTCCAGGTGATATAAAACAAATGACAAAGTATCAGCTTAGCACCTGGACTACAATGCTCAGAAGAACAGGCAATCTTGTTGGGATAAAAGTCGACAGAAGACATGGCAACAGGACAGCCTGGCCTCAGACACGAACAATGTGGGTCTTGCTCCTTTCAGAAGTCATCACTTAATTTAAAAATGTTGAGTCTTGGAGATATGTTTCAAGTGGGAAACTTGAGTATGCTGGTTTATGTCTGCTGAAATACTGTCAGACACTGGGCCCAGCATGTGGTCCATCACCTCTGTGCATTCTGTGACCAGAAAGGAGCATGCCAGCAATCAGCAAAAAATGATATAGAAGTGTATAGAATACTTAAATGCTGGTTTTGCTTTCCAGAGGTTTTGTACTTTGTGCTAACACTTACACAAAGACTTAATGTGAGTTAAAAACAAGTCAGGGATGGATATTCTGACATATGCATTTAATTTAGGGGCTCAGCTATTTCTATAATGGAAACGTTTATAGCTCAGCATCTCTTTTGAATACTGACATAAATAATTGCTCCCAATGATCCCTTTCATAGTTCAGTTCACACCATGATGCTCATTTGTACAGAAATAAATGTATAACTAAATAAATGTTTGTGGTGGGAAAGGAGCATGAGTTTTTAAAAGACTTTTGACTTTCAACTCACAGACTGCAGACTGACCTACATTTGTAGTTAAATGTTTTACTAGTTATTTTTTTACCATCTAAAAGATATTTAGTCATGTTTCCTAAAAATGGGTGCAATTTTAATGGATGATCATAAACTCAAGGCAAAAAATGCAAATACTGGCACCTTTACACCAGCCAAACCATCTCAATTTTCTTTGCTGGCAAGGGACCTCTGTAGAGAAGCAACTTTATTCATTAAAGTAAATAATGCCTCCTCATTTCAACAACATAAAATCATCCAAAAATACGCTCGCAGTTGCAGAAAAGCCCAATTATATGTACTCTTCCCATGCAAGAGATTTGGAAATCCAAGATTAAATAGTATAACAAAGTTGCAAGAGAAAAGATTTACAGTGGGTAAAGAAGATAGAGCCCTATAATACCACTTGAAGTACTGTCAATTACAAATTTCTTTATTTGTTTTCCCAAATTATCAGAACGCAGCAGAAAGTTGGTAGATGACAGCAATTACCCTTCTGAGTCAATATATCATCCCTACGGCCTTACCCACTAGAATAACAGGCATGAGAAATTACATACTTTGCAGTCTAGAATTACCAGAAAAAATAATCAACTGCTGATACAAATCTTGAAAAATAAAAGCAGTGGAACTTTTGCCTGCTCTGCAACTCAAGAGAGCTTCAGTCTGTCCTTCCCAGCACTAAAATAATGTTTCCTAGACGATGACTGCAGCACTTGACAAGGAACTTTTTTTTTCTATGAGAAAAATTCTGACAGGCTTTACAGCAAACCCCCATTATAGGAAAACCCCATGGTCTCACAGTGCTACACTTCTCTCAGGACCTGTTCTTGAAATACTGAAAGACAGTGGAAAAGGAGTCCTGAGTATTTCCCAAGGTACCTATGGCCTCTGGCAGGATCCAAAGAACACAGTCTGATAGTGATAAGGCAAAGGGGGAAAAGAAGGGAGATTTAGATTAGATATTAAGGGGAAATTCCTTACTCAGAGACCCTGGAACATGCTGTACAGAGGAACTGTGGATGCCCCATCTGTGGAGGTGCTCAAGACCTGGGACAGATTTGATCTGATCTGGTGGGAGGTGGCCCTGCCCATGGCAGGGGGTTGGAACTGGAAACGCTTTAAGGTCCCTTCCAACACCTTCCAGCCATTCTACATTCTACAGTTCTGTAGTCAACCTGGTCACTCTAGAGGGCTGTTATTTCCTTAGGGACTCCCTGATTTACCATAGTGATAAATTTTAATCCGATTTCCAGACATTTATTTTAGGGAAGAGGTCAAAAGAAAATTTCAGAAAGCCAAGGTTTCCTTTATGTGTTGCTATGAATAGGAAATGAACAGATTTAGGAAGCTCTCAAGGTGAGATTGTTCACACAGTTCACTTTTCAGTCAGATTTCACTCAGCTTATGGCTAAAGTTTAGAATAATATTATTTCTGTTGATCTTCTTACTTCAACACAGAACAAGCTGGGTGCTACTCAGACTTCACAGAACCATTCATCCTGCCATACCTTCCAGGTTAATTTTAACATTTCACTGTGGTGTTCATCACCAAATTACCACAAACACAACCACCAGAGTGCAGCCCAACTGCAAAATCTCTTCTTGGTTCTTTTATTTTTCTGTTGTAACATACTAACGGCTTGTTCTGAGAGGAGTTTTCCCTAGAATATAACAGGCTGTTGGTGTGCATAGGATTTTAAAAGTATAGTTTAGGAGGAGAACCCCAAAGCTATTGCATTCTTGAGGAGAAATGAAGCTTGCAGTGAATATTTTACAGCTTGTAACAAGTCTGGCTGGCTTTTACAGAACGAGTCCTTCTCTGGAACAGGATGGCACTGGAAGACTTAAATACTACAGACAGACAGAGAAATATACTCAGTGACATTCATACACTCATGCAGAAGAGCAGACTGATGGTATCACCGAAAAAGGAGGCATGTGATAAGCACACACAACATTCCACAATTTCATTTCCACTAAATAAAATCTATTTCTATATAATAAGTGACAGGAGACTGCAACCTCAATTGCCATGGCAAAATTTATGCTTAGGGAACAAACAGCAGGTAACAGCTGATTCTGACTTTTGTCTCCTCAAGAAACTTCAGTTTCTGCTTATTAAACCAACTACTAAACTACTCTCCGTAGTTTAACTGGGCCTGTCCAAGAGTTAATCTAAGAGTTAACTCATTCTGTTTCCTTAAATTTACATTAAAAACAACAAATTCTGCTACGACAGTAGTATCCAAAAAACTTCAATCCTTCCTCCTTCCTTGAAGTTCAAGAGAACGCAAATTCTAACAAGCAAATAACTTGAACTTACATTTTTCTGAGGTTGGGCAGTTTCTTGAAGAGTCCAATAGCTTCCAGAACAGAAATATCATTGTCATTCAAACGCCTGAAGGGAAAAGAACAAAAAGACATTTAATGCTTCACAGATCTCTTTAGATATATCTCTGTGACATACAGGACTGTCACAAAGAGAGAATTATGACCTTTGCAAATAAGATACTATCTGCCATGTGTCTCAGACTCCCGGAGCGTAAAAAGATATAAAAACTCAGGATGCCTTTAAGAGTGTGATGCCAAAGGACAGTGTAAGAATGCCTCCTTTCAGTGCACACAGTAAGATATTATTAACCTTCACCATCACAAGGCTTTGTTTGCATGTCTAAATCTCCCTCATTCATCCTATAAAAGAGATGTGCAGTTGAAGATCTAGTCCACTTCAGTAGAAGCAATTTGATACCAATTTATTTCCCATAAAATTCCATTGATCTTCAAAAATAATGTAAAAGCTGCCATCCTGGCAGGCTTGGGATGCGAATCCTTTGTCCGATGGAGTTCAGTTTTTCTACACAGAGACTTCTCTGTGTTTCTGGACATCTCTTCCCTATATTCTTCTATCTTAGCTTCGGAACAACAGTTCACATACTGCTTTGTAAGGTCAAAAAAAGACAATTATGTTTGAAAAAGACAATTACATTTGACACAAAGGCATCAAAGGAAGAGGAACCATGAAAATGGCTCGTGTGAGCCACGTGACAAAGCAGTATGTCAAGAAGACATGGAGAAGGAGCTGATGCGCAGGGCCATGGCTCCTTCCTCATGCCTGTATTTAGCGTGAGAGCTAAGGAATTAAGAAAGATGTGGTGCTCCTCCAGAACAAAATTAACCTACCCAGTTTCACATGGCAAGGTGCCTTGATTTGCTGAGCCCTTATACAGCCTTTAAAATCTAGGAAAACCAACATGCCTGACTGAGCACATCTTGGAGAGGCAGCACTTACAGATCAGTGGTATATTCAGGAAGGTGGCTGGGTAAGCGGGTGAGCTTTTGGTTGGAGCAGTCCACAACTGTTCCCTCACAGCGACACTTCTCAGGACAGACAAGATCCATGAAACACTTCCCAGTGAATTTACTTCTGTAATCCTCTGACCCTGCAATAAAGGGAAAATACATTCCAGCAAACAGCTCCTGATAACTGCAGCAATCAGAGACTTATGGAACTGGTTTTCAACACTGCCTCTTGTCAGCTACAAGCTTCTGCACTCAATTTTAATACTTGCAAAAAGTTTTTTCAACAATTTTTCAAATGACTCTCCCAGAGTAGCCTCTGTTTTTTCATTCTTCCCTTGACAAATTAATTCCTTGTCTACCTAACCAGCATACCTGTTAAGGCATTTTTTTTTACATCTGTAGATAGCCGAGAGGTCTGCTTCAAGGAAACTCCAGCAAAGTTATTTTTTCAGATTTTGCACTTATTCCAGCAGATAGGAAGAGGAATCACATGAAGGCAGGAGTTATTTTGATGCATGCAAATGACAAAAATTTTCTAATGAAGTCATTAAAAAAACCCCAAATTTTCAAACCTCAGCTCTTAAAGCTATCTTAGAGACCAGCCCTGTGTAAGAGTACCATGTCAACAATTTCCGACAATTAGACACCTTTATTAACTGCATTAAACAAACAGTAGAAGAAAGTAATAGCACTTTAAATCATTTTCATTTTAATTAAGAAACGGGTAGACCATACTTAGTGAGAAGCACTCCCTCATGTGCCGTTATACCATGATTGCCAGACCTCTCTGACTAGGTTTTTTGACCCATTCTAATGAAATGCTTTTCCAATTAGGCTCAGTGAACTAATCTGTCCTTTTCTGATTTGGTTTTTCTCTTTTAATAACAGCAGGTTTGAAACTTGATCTCTGTGTTTCATGGAACCAGCAGCATTAATAAATGTGTGTGCAATCAAAGCGTTGCCAAGACAGACCCCGCCATGCAATACCTGCCCACTCACTTCATATTTCACAACGGAAACTCCAGAATTGTCTCAGGAATTCTGTGTAATATCCAGCAATCGTAACTACCAAGAAATAGTTTTAACTTTTGCAGAGTCCTAAAAGCCAATTTCAACGCTTTCTCAGGAATGATTTGAGCATGTTCAGATTTTGCAATGAACCATAAAACAGCAGTGGAAACTTCAACTGAAATTTTGTTTTAGAGACTTGACAACATTCTTTACCTGCTTCCCTCTTCCAGACTGATCAATACACCAGTACTCATTTCATCAATGGACACTATTTTTTTCAGAAGGAAAAAGGAATCACCTACAATTTCTACTATTTTAACTTCTGTTACACATTACCTGCATTGGGTGATGCACTGAAAGCAAGCAGTTCCGCAAGCAATCTAACATTTTGATTCCATTGACACACTTGGGTTTGGTTTTGTAAAAGCTGGATTATGACAAACATTAAACATGCAGCTTTGTACACTACCACCTCTGTGGTGGTAATCACCTGCAGGTCATCATGGTTCTTGTAAATTATACATCTGTAGTGAGACTTGACTACTGTTTTACAGCCTGATGGCACAGCACTTAAAATATGAGGAGCACTGGGCATTTTGAAGTATTTCTAACATACTTAACATTTCTTCTTACAGCCATAATTTAAAATGCTTTTTTTGGGGGGTAGGAAGGGGAAAGGGAAAAAAAAAAGAAGCACATCTGATTTCCCATCCTAAAAATTGCAGGCTTGGCAGTCTGGATAAAATGTCAAGTGACAAATGTACAATTTCTTGATTCCATAAACAGCTGTATTTTCTTAGGCTTATAAAGCAGTACTTATGGTTGCTTATGATTCCTCAAAACAATGCCAACTATGAACAGCTACAAGGATCAGTTTATTAAAACTGCTACAGTTATAGTACACATTGAAAAAAAACAAAACAGAATTTTTCAGTCATCACAAAGTGTCTTGGAATTCCTCAAATTAACCCCTGAAGAAGCAATTCTAACTTGCATTATATAAGTATTCTTTGAATGAATAATCACAACCATCATGAGGTTACACAGGGTAAGATTTTATTAAGTATACATTTTTGTCTTACAGATACAGGATTAATATTCCTAAGGAAAACAGAGAAGGAGGAGAAAGTAAGTGGGACATTTTGTGAAGGAGAAAAGAGTGTACATAACATCAGAGGGTGATGGTTTTCTTCTTTTTTTTTCTTTCATAGAAGCTTTTTGGCAGAGTCAATAAAGGATATTTACCTCATTTTGGCTTATCATACTGACGCTCCTGATGATGTATAACTTTCCAGCCTGCAGCAGCCATGGGAAGCTGTTGTCATGCGGCCATCAGTGCACTGCCTCCACACAGCAGGCGAAAGCCCTCTCAACTCAGTAGGAGAGGAAGGGACCTTCATACCTTCCTTCCTTCCTTGTTGCATTTTATTTAACTTTATAAAAATATTTTATAAAATAAAGGTTTGAATACGAATTACCCAGGTAGGCACAGTCAGAAGTTCTCAATGGCACAAATACGCTCAGCAAGTACTTAGTCACCCATTAGGCCGTGAGAAAGCAGGAATCATCTGCCAACAGCTAAACAAAATTTACTGTTTGACCTGAGCCTTGAGGTCACTTTGACAGGTGGCTGCTCTATTAAGATATTCCCATCTGGGATAATACGAAATGGAGCCATCTGCTTGCAGAACTAGTTAGGTACATACACCCATTGCTATCTTTATTGCTGCATTGCTACAGGGCTCTGAGTGGATATGACAGGAATCAGGAAGCACGATCAACAACCCATGCATGCAGTGCTTTTCCTAAAATCACCCGTGGAAAGCCATGGAAAAGAGACGCAGGATGTGCACAGAGCACACACTTGACTTTATTTTACTATTCCAGAGCTGCCATTTGGTCATTTTATTACATGTGAAAGCACACGTGCAGTGTAGATGAGAACACTGCGAAGCCTGGCTGAATGTAAAACATGACCAGGAGTTTTCAGTAATTTCCAAAAGGAAGAAGTAATTTTAATATCAGTATTATGAGGAGCCAAGGCAAGAGCAAGGCATGTATTTTATTGAGGGTAATGCTATTTATCTGAATTGCTAGTGACACTGATAACATTTTCATTTCACAATCTACGTGACATTGCTACCAGGTATCAGTGCATTGTAATTCATGCAGCATCAGTGAGCAACACCAAATGCCATTTTACAGAACAGCAGTACCATGATAAAGAAACACTACATTTCCAAGCACTCACATATTTCAGGGGCCTCTCTACTACTCGCACAGAGAAATTAAGCAGCACAGATAAAGAGCTTTTTCTGCTCTTGTAAGCAATTGCTTAGAAAACCTGATTTCAGTTTTTAAAAATGAGCAATTCCAAAAAGACTCAAAAGGAGTGCTGAATGATGCGCTCTGGAAAAAATCAAGCTATTTTTATTCAAGGCATGATGACTGACCTGATATTTTCCTTCTATAAAACATAGATCCAACTGTCTGAAATTTGGCAAAAATAAGATCACGGACATCACGGATCTAACACTTGGCGAAAACCCCGGGAATCCTGACATTTACTTCTTTACTTAACCACTTGATCACAACTTTCATACATTTTCAGAGGAAAAAAAAACACAGGATGTACATTGTTTTATATCATTTCCCATCCAAAGCATTAATTCTTATCTGTAATTACACAGAAAATCTAAAAATCACATATGTCCTCGTTCTGATGCTCCACAACAGGTATGCAGCAGCTCTGTGAGATTACACAGCATTTCCATACAAGAAAACTTCTGCATGAGGCCCTCAAAGTACTTTATCAAATATGTGTAATAACCTCTGGGAGGAAAGTTAGGAAGAAGTACATTAAAGGTCTTACCTATGCTGGCTGATCCAAAAGGGCTCATTAGAGTATGTTGATTCAGCTCTGCGCTATGTGATCATTGGATAACTGCTTCCATACAGGCCACATGACCCGTGTCATTTCATGATAAGATATAATGCTTTGCAGAGTCCTCTGTAGGTTAAAGTTCTTCTGCAGCATACTTCTTCATAATGAAATGCCAGCACAGTAAGACTGCTCAAATCAGGTCCAAGGTTACATTAAGCATCAGACATCTCATTACACAACACGGCATCCAAAAAGTCCCTCAAGCAGAAGGACTCACAGGACAGCTCAGATAGATGCAGTTTACATTATTCATAAGGTAAGTAGACAAAAAAGAGTTTTCATCTCTGTAAGTATGACTGGAGCCACCCTTGAATCTTATTCACCAACAGGATGCCTCACTTTCTCCTTCTAAGAGCAACTAAACAGATTAATTACTTGGAAACGGTTATTCAGCATGCAAGCCCTTTGGAAAGTCAGACCCAACGTCACCAGGGTCCCCCCAGCAGTCCCCAGGTGCCTGGAGTCTGGTTAAGCAACACACATCACCTTTTTGACTTTTCCTGTGAGAAAAGGGGAATCTCTCACCTTTTGATGGTTCTGAAAACAGCAGAAGTATCCCAGCATGCCATGCGGCAGGGAGTATGCAGCCTTCCATGGTGCTTGACAGAACCATGTTCAATTTGTATTGTTCTACCACATGGTTAGATCAAGCACAAAGGAAAACCCCATGGACAGCCAGAGTCAGAGTTAGGCAGCGCCAAAGAGAGAAGAGCGTTGAGAGGAAGCAGCATGGAGAAGCACAAGCTGAAGGTTCACTGAGAGCTGCTCTCCACTCCGCCCATGCAAAAAGGTGCTGGATACAAGAGGTCATCCTTTATGCTACAACTGCAGAACACCCTGGAGCACAATTGGGGTTAGTGTACAAGAACAGAGCCCGGGCAAATTCAGAGACAGAACTAGTATGACAGAAACTGCTACCAAAGCACTGCTAATAGCTCTCTCCAGGAACGATGTGCATCTCCCACCACATGTGAAGGACTGAGCTGTGCTGCTCTTTATTAGCTACTTACACGCTCATGGTGCGTCTCCCAGTGCAAATTCCATTTCAGTTGTCCCCAACTGAGCTGATTCTGAGCTGATCATGAACCTCTGGCAGCCAACCCTCTCTAAGCTCCCTGTGAGCCATTCTCAGCTCCCAGCGGCCCTTCATGCAGGTGGCACTTACACTGATGACCTGTAATCACC